TCTTCTATTTGAGATTTCAACGGAATAAAATTAAATATAAAACAAATACTTGTTGAAATTTATTGACTGTCGTCCTTTAAGTATCAACGTAATAAGTTATTATTCTTTGAAAAGAAATGGTTAGAAAATTGAAGCATCATATATCCGGAGAATGAAAGTTGATGGGTTTCTGAAGTGTACTGAGATTAAGGAGTCAGTAGGTACACTATTGCCTGATATCAGAATCACTTTCAGCTTTCTGAAGCGAAAATATGATTGCAGAATTCCAAGTTAGATCCATTAAGCTAAAATTTTTTGATTCGTTTTGCCTTAAGTGACGTTAAGTCTTGCTTTGATGCTATATCATGGTAATTGTTTCTAGTCCTCCCCTCCTCACTCTCGTCAAAAAATTCAATTCACCAAAAAAATCAAGAATTTGAAGAATTGCATCCGAAACAATCGCTTTAACTTCTAATGGTTAAGCTGACCGTCTGGGCTATATGGTCACCTCGACATTGTTGTACAAATGACCACGTTTGTCACTTTACGTACATAATAAATACTTTCAGCTCCCGGCTGTCCGATATTGTCGACAAAAAAAACTCAGTCAAGTGCCCGGAGAAGGCATTGAATAATTTCACTTCGGGGAAGGACACGACGATAATTGGATTAATGAAGTACCCCCAAGCAAACTGCAAATAGACAACCATACCAAAAATAACAAGATCAAATTCAATCACGAGAGCGTCAATAAATTTGGAACAGATTCCAGTTTGGGAACTGGTAAACAATCTTAAGGAAGGGCGCAGGAAAATGTGTAAAAAAATATACGCCAATGGCTGAAAGGTGCAGCAATCTCAGTCAATTGCTGGATTGCACAATTTACGCTGCAGTTATGAAATATGTTCTACACCAAGTCTGGCCCTGATGACATTTCGAATATAAAAAAGAAATTTACGTCCCACTTTTCTACAACTAGGAATAAGGTACCAAAATTTCATCAGCCAACCATGGCTGAACACATCAGGTAATCAAATTAGTTCTGATTAACTCATCAGATAAAGACGTGTCTATATTCTTGAATCAAAGATGAGACTACTAGTTCTTAACTCATCCGATAAGCCAACAAGTTCTTAACTCATCAAATGTTCCAGCAAGTCCTAAACTCATAAGATAAGCCAACTTGCTATCAGATAACTGTTTCTTTAATCACCAGATAAGCCAACTATTTCATGACTCATCCGTTAAGCCAACTAGTTATGAACCCATGAGATAAGGTTGATAAGCCAACTATATCATGACTCATCCGTAAAGCCAACTAGTTATGAACTCATCAGATAAGCCAACTAGTTCTGAACTCAGCAGATAAGTCAACTAGTTCTGAACTTATCAGATAACCAGCATGTTCTTGACATATAAGATAAGCCAACTAGTTATGAACTTATCAGATAAGCCAACTAGTTCTGAACTTATCAGATAAGCCAACTAGTTCTGAACTTATCTTACCAGAAAACCCAAAATGATCTACAATTGAACAGGAGACCAAACAAAGTGATTTGTAACCTTTGACAGAAAACGAATTAAAAAACAAAGTTGATTTATTTGATGCATATATATTAAAAGATTTCTTAATATTTACATAAACATATTGCACATGGATAGAATAAACTGAATGAGGAATGAATGAAACAAATGAATTAAATATTTCTTAACCCCAACCCACAATTCTATGCTTTGTTATTCTTTAACTTAAGTATTTGCAACTTGGCCAAAGGAACAAATGAGCACTTATTTTGCTTATACATCCAAGATTTAAGAAATAACTTATGCTTATTTTGCTCATAATATTTGCTATAAGGGAATAATTTCTATCTTAGCACAACTATTAAGTATAATAGGTCCAATCAGTATATGTTGTTATATTCTGTTATTCTTTGACATAAATTAAGCTCCATGTGATATTAAATTATAATATTTTGATGGACATTTCCTTTTAAGGATGAAAATTGACATTAAAGGTTTCTATCATTTTTGGTTAAGGGGGCATTTAAAGCTTCATATCTGACCAATGTCCATTCAAATTCCCAAGGGCTAATGGACTCGTAATAAAAAAATATCTGGATCCCTTTCTGATAAATCTATTGAAATAAGGTGAAATTCACCTTTGGCATTACAAAGAGGAAGAGATCTATGTTAAATCCTTTGAATAGTAATTTGAATAAAACTTTGCTATAAAACACCTCCATAGCAAGAAAAACTTGATGTCTTAATGTTGTTATCAAGTTTTTTCAATCGGATGTCTGTGCTTCCTGCAATTCCACTAATATTAGGTGTGATTTGAGATTGGTGAGGTCATCAAAGACTTATTTTTTGTGGAATTGCAGGAACTAAAAATTGATACTATCAGTGTCCCTGATACACATATATTCTTTTAGAAAACCTCTTAACAGCCCTATATTTATTATATTTCTGATTATGATAAATCATGAAATTAATATTTCAATATCAGTTAATTTTCTACCAAAGCAAACAATTTCTTTAAAGCTTTTAAGAAATATTTGATATTTTGATCAGAAATTTCCATTTCCAACAAATATATGTAAAAAAAATGAAATCATTTCAACATGCTATATTCATTCTGGCCTTGAATTCTTTTAACTAAAATGGAAATAACAAAAATAACGCTTTTTATACTGTTATTCAACAAAAAACTAAAATCATTTTTTACTAGATATTTAAATATAGAAATTTTCTAAAAACACAGTTATGAGTCATGCAATTTTAACAATTTATGTTATTTTCATACATAGCTAAAAATATGTTTGTATATGGAAAAAAAATCAAGTGGGATTTTGGAAATTTAACAATGCAAAACGGAAATGTATCAAGACAGAATAATAAACAAAACTGATATGTATTTGCATAATCTTAAGCATACCACATTAAAATAAGAAATGACATCAATGATTGTTATGCATGCTTGAAGACTTGATTTTTTAAAAATTCTACCATTTTTAAGCGTTTTTTTTTAATCAATACTTAGTTCAATGGATCAGACTATAGAAAACTCCTGTTGTAAAATGATGACACCAGATAAGTCCACTAATGAATATAATAATCTTTTTGGCTAATTTTGAGAATTTTAATTTTATGTTGATTCTAAGAGGCCCAAAGGGTAGTAAACCCCTAAAAAGCTTTTCCCTTACAGTAATGAAATTTGCTCCATGAATTAAATATAAAACTAAACCATAGCGAGGAATTCCCTTCAGATCATCTACCTATTTAGCAAAGTACAGCTTGATATGAAAACCTATAGGCTTGGGGTCACACTACCCAAATGCTCTTAGTATGCCTATATATGAATCAAAAGGTAAAGAAACATTACTGTAATACAGATCTCAAATCTGTCACTTTATAGCCGAATAATGTGAGTTAATTGTCCATACAGGTGGCAGAGATTGACAGAAGTTCTATCAGCTTTAAAAGAGAAATATCAGAGAGCTAAAACTTTAGATAAGGTATGGACAACCAAGTGGAGTGACAACCAGTCTAGAAGATACCATAGCAACCATAGATTAATAGTCTGTCAACCTGATCAGCATAGTCAACAGATAACCATATCAATTGCATTCATTTCAATAAGACCAGCAGCTTACCTGGAATCATGACCAGATACTCAACCTACTCTGTCTTGAAACCCATCAACAGCTATATAGATGACTAGGTCAACCACAAGAATAGCAGTTCTCAGGCAACCAGATCAACCGCAAGAATAGCAGTTATATTACCTACCAGGTCAACCACAAGAATAGCAGTTCTCTGGCAACCAGGTCAACCACAAGAATAGCAGTTCTCTGGCAACCAGGTCAACCACAACAATAGCAGTTCTCTGACAACCAGATCAACCACAAGGACACCAGCTATATTAGCAACCAGATCAACTACAAGAATAGCAGCTATATTAGCAACCAGATCAACTACAAGAATTGCAGCTATATTAGCAAAAAGATCAACTACAAGAATTGCAGCTATATTAGCAACCAGATCAACTACAAGAATAGCAGCTATATTAGCAACCAGGTCAACCACAAGAATAGCAATTATATTAGCAACTAGGTCAACCACATGAATAGCAGTTATATTAGCAACCAGGCCAACCACAAGAATAGCAGTTATATTAGCAACCAGGTCAACCACATGAATAGCAGCTAAAATAGCAACAAGGTCAACAACAAGAGTTGCAGCTACAGTGGGCAGTGGCACACAGGTCAACGACAAGAGAAGCAGCTGGCAAGCAGGTAAAATATATGAAGGAATGATTGAAAATGGTTATAAATCAAACTTATTTGATACAAATGAAATAACTTACTATTAAAGACTAGATACTTTATATAGATTCAGTTACAGTAGAAATAATGAAATTTCAAAATAGAGCCTACCTAAATTATTCAAACCGTGGATTTTACAATCAAAACAATAATTTGGGATGACACATGAAGCTGAAGCTGATACTTTCCCTAAAACATGTACTTAATTTTACTTTCAGGACCTACATACAATTTCTTAAGTCTGTTATTGAAAAATGAATCATTTTTAATTACGTATCACAATATAGTTGCATTATGAATTTAAAAAGACTGCCACTTCTACCAATGACAAGCTAATGAAAAATAATTCAGCACTTCTCTTTGTAATGAAGTTCATCTTTAGATTTAGAATCACAAATCTCTGCATTCAGCAAGCTCAAGAACATGAAATGCATGTGTATCTCTTTATAGACTCGGAGTGCAGTCTGTAGTTCTACATCACTCAATCTTCAACACTGGCGTACAGATGTCATTAAGCACTAATAATGATTGACTCATCAAATCTTCTGGATAATGAACATCACACTAAGATGAGGTCACGACCGTGATCGGTTTTCTCGCACCACTCCTTGATATGAGCACCAACTAGAAGAGGCCACATTAAGGTTTCTTGATCACAATTAAGATGAAATAAACACTGTATAGTCTTGAATATCAAGTATTAAATATGCCCTCTGTACTCCGCGATAGATGAACTGGATGTGAGGGACTACGTATCAGTCTTGTTTTGGGTATCCTTTCCAAAGCTTTAGAAATTTGACTAAATTCTGGCCTCTCTTCTTTCTTAAATGCCCAACATGACATCAAAATATCCTACAAGATAAAAACAAACCTGATGACTAAATTAATCATATTAATATAATAAATAAAAGAATTGATAAGGAATTGAAAACAAAAAGAGCTTTATATATTACTTTTCTTCTCAGAAGTCATATATCAATTTCTAATGATATAATGTGGGCAATTATGAAACTTTCGAAGATATCTTTATTAATGCTACTTTTAATCCTAAATGAACATTTACACATGTCAGACTATGAGCCTGATCTACTTACCTTCACCTCCCGAGGAGCACCAATATAACTCAAGGATTGTTTCATACCACGCCCGACCTGCCAGATAATAGTCTCGGCAGGATGGGACTTGAATGGCCAATCACTGACTAATAATTCATACCACATGGTACTGTAATTAAAATATTTATTAAATAATGTCAATTAATACACCAAGGGTTACAACTTGCCAACATTTCATTTGGCCTCAATTAGTTCAAAAGATATGGAAATTTTTTTTTAACAAAACTATCAAAGACTTTTCAATCAATTACAAAAGAAAATCAGTTATGACATTCATACAAGAAAATCATCATCATTGTCATCATTATAAAACATCATTATTAATCATCGTCATTTTCTGTGGGTTAGATAATGACCACAGAAATAAGATAGATTACTACTTACCCAAATGCATATATATCAGACATTTCTGTGAAGGGTATTTCCATATTTACACTCTGTCTAGCGTGAAGCGTTCGGATTATTTCTGGTGATAAATAACACAACCATCCTGGTGGAATGCTTAACCAATCTTTCCTGAAAATGAATGAATAAGGAAATGACAAAAAATGGACTGAATGATGGACTGAATAACTGAATGATTGACAGAATAACTGAATGATTGACTGAATAACTGAATGATTGACAGAAAGACTGAATGGCTGACTGAATAAATGAATGATTGGCAGAAAGACTGAATGATTGACAGAAAGACTGAATGATTGACTGAATAACTGAATGATTGACAGAAAGACTGAATGATTGACTGAACAACTGAATGATTGATAGAAAGACTGAATGACTGACAGAAAGACTGAATAACTGAATGATTGGCAGAAAGACTGAATGATTGGCAGAAAAACTGAATGATTGACTGAATAACTGAATGATTGGCAGAAAGACTGAATGATTGGCAGAAAGACTGAATGATTGACAGAAAGACTGAATGATTGACTGAATAACTGAATGATTGACAGAAAGACTGAATGATTGGCAGAAAGACTGAATAAGAAAGACTGAATAACTGAATGATTGACAGAAAGACTGAATGATTGGCACAAAGACTGAATGATTGACTGAATGATTGACAGAAAGACTGAATGATTGACAGAAAGACTGAATAACTGAATGATTGACAGAAAGACTGAATGATTGGCAGAAAGACTGAATGATTGACAGAAAGACTGGAATGATTGACAGAAAGACTGGAATGATTGACAGAAAGACTGAATAACTGAATGATTGACCGAATAACTGAATGAATAAATGAAAGAAAGAGTTGGGATGAAATCATCAAACATTTTCTTTAATATCTCTATAGTTTGCTCCCAATTCATTGAAGTTTTCATGGAAAGATAAGTGAAAGTTAACATATATTATTTATCTGTGATTCATAAATAATTTTCTATTTTAAACAATATTGATCTGAAATATTTAGTTATGAATTCAAAGTCTTACTCACTTATTTCCTCGACAAATTTTTGTGACATTAAATAAACCAAAATCAGTGATGACAACTTTTCCTGCATCCACAAAGACGTTTTTAGTACGGAGATCTTTATGTATAATACCCCTAGCATGTAAATATCCCATACCCTGTACAAAAAAATTAATATACATGTATCATTATATAGAAAGAGAAAATTTAATTGATTATTTTGAACAAGGACTGCAATAATGATAGACGGGCAATACCATGACAGTATAAGGCAACTCTATTTTTTTTTCTTTCAAATCTATAGGGATCTATAGCTTGCACAGACTGTGGCCACGTGTTCATTAAATGATAATGGAAGCCATGGAAAGATCCAAGACTATTTTTGATATAAGATTTAAACTATTCGCATTCTTGTATCACAGATTCCAGACATTTTTGTATTAAAAAAAAAAATACAGATTATTTAAATATAAAAGAGAATTTCTACCTGAGCTATCTGTGAGGCGACTATTAGAGCTTTATTTAATTTAAAACTATCACGTTTTATATGTATTAAACTAAATAATGTTTCTCCTTTACAAAAACTGAAAATATAATTACAATATTAATTTAATCTCTCATCACTTGCAGAATTCATTCTTATATAGTCAGAAAGTCAGTGTTTAAACTCTTTAGCCTTGCATTCTTCAACTAACTCCAATTTACCAAACTTCTCTTATGAGCCAGTTAGTAATAGTGTTCACAGCTCACTGTCAAAATATCAGCCTTCAAATCCATGTGTGTCCAGAATTTTGAAAGTTAAAAAGACGAGTCATCTCTTTTTGAGACACTGTCATATATAGAAAAGACATCAATAGAAATAGGAAAAGAAAATCCCAGTTTGATATATATTTTAAGGAATTTTGCGATTTTCATACATTTCTAGTAAATCTGAAGACTATTTACATATATTGAAGACTCAAATCGCACACCTACCCTTTAAACTGAATTAGCTTTTTTTGGTGAATAAGTACTTAACTAACTTACCTTGTTACTATGGCAAGTCTGGGTTCTTTCATACAGGCTCCCATAAATAACACTAAATTTTCATGCCTTGTCTTCCGTAACACACCAACCTATAAAATATATAGGTTTATATTACAGACCAGAAACAAAACATTGTATTACAAAGCATTAAAAGTTAAACACAGACAACAGAGAGCCATGATACTTGGGTTCATTCAGGATGAACAGAAATCATTGGTGCCGATTTTCATGTCTGTTCACATTTAAAATCACAGAATTTTCAGTATATAAGTATAACAGACAGCAACATTTTTCTCTGGGTTCATATTGGGAACTTACAGCACAATTTGATTGTCATCAGAAAGAACTGTTTAAGGACTTTAACTTGCAGATTGTGATTTGAATAGGAACATTTTGTTCTCTGCCCTTGACTCATTTTTAGTTTAAAAGAAAATAAATTTAGAAATCTTAACACATATAAAGATAGGTACCTCTAATTTAAAAGCGGCAAGTTGAGCTTGATTATCACTATCATCCATAGCTAGTACTTTAATAGCAACAGGACCATGCCAATGACCTCTACAAAAATATAATAACAATTACACGTTAGCAAGTTCTAGCTTGATATATCAGATATAGATTGTATTTATTACTAATTAAACTTTCTAACAATAACATGGATTTCACTCACTTGATAATTTGAATTAATAATCAGATTCACTTAATCATTATTGAAACAAGACTTTTTGTTTAGTCTTTCTGTCGATGGCTTTGACTGGCTGTATTTGCCAGTATACCAGCCAATCAAATCGCTGTAATTACAAACCTCCATGATACAACAAAGGTGAATACGGAAGTTGAGGAACTAGATGAATTTCGTATTACTTTAAAATTGTGAAGATGCAGTGACATTGTGGAGATGCATTATTGAGAGTATGGAGATACTAAGATGTAATATACTTACTTGAATACAGTACCAAATCTACCAGTACCTATCTGTTCGGTTAATACTAGTTGTTCATATGGTATATCCCATTCCTTCATAGTAACTGATAGCTATAATATACAATAAATCACAGGTTTTACTGCTTAGTTTGGAAAATTCAGGATTGGTGATATAACTGTTCAGTACACCATAACTAAATCTAACTCTTTTACCTCGGTTGGATTACAGTCTGCATAGTGACTGTATTGTGGGTTCGAACCTCAAGGTAAGAAACATTCTCATGCCACAGCAACTGCCTTTGAAATTGGCCTTGTTAGCCTATCACCTATTAGTTAGAATATCATTCTGTGCATTCTTTACGAAATTGTAGTCAACATCATGCAGTGTAAAAATTTGGTTGTAGTACTTACACTATTGCCTCGTTTCCAGTTATGCCCACCTGGATCATCTTGACTATCGATTGAGTCTACTCTATCTAATAACACTTTATCAGAAGTATTACTCTGAAAATATAACAGTTGAAAATGACCATATCATCTTGCAAACACTAAACGTGTTTAATAAATCATATGTCGAAATTTCTAAAGTAAACTCAACAAGTTGTTCTTTCTTTTGATAAAGCTGAAGTAATCTGTTATATCAATCCACATGGGTCCATGAGATAACTCCCAGAATATTATGTTTTTGAAATAAATAAGAGCAATATTTTTGTTTTCTAAAAAGTTAAAGGTACAGTTGTGCCATTTTTATGGACCAATCATACAGGATTTTTTTAGCGTAGACAATTAGTAATAGTGTTCACAGCTCACTGATGAAATTTGAGACTTCAAATCCATGTGTGTCCAGAATTATCTGCGTTTGAATGTTAAAATGATGAGTTGTCTTTTCTCAAGAGTCTGTCATATATAGAAAAGACATATAAAGAGAGAGAAATTCCTTGTTTGAGGTATTGTTGAAGGAATTATGTGATTTTGTACATTTCTAGTACTTCTAAAGACTATTTACATATATTCAAGGCTAAAAACACCCTCCAAAATGCTGCACCTGTCCCTTTAACACCATTGTTGATCATTTAGGATATGAAGGCTTACATGACCCTGCAAAGCTGCTTTTTTTTTTTAAATGTTAAAAACTTACATCTATCAATGTTTTATCACTATCATTGGAAGTATTAGTATTCACAACATCTCTGTAATAAAAATCACATCATATTTCTCAACAATAAATGAAGATAATGACAATGATATGCAGTGTGCAATCAGGTAAAGTTTGTAAATTCAATTGTTAGGGTCTGTCCATAGAGGGTTTATTCTTTTATTTCAATGTCTAAATTCAGACAAGATTGTGGGCCTACACTAGATATCAAGGCTAGGTTAAAAATCTTTAACAAAATCATACTTACATCTCATCATTTGATTCAGAATTTCGCATTTCAAAATCAGCTGGCAATGTAGAAATACTATCTGGCACTTCTAGAAAAGATATCAAATGTTGTATAACTCTTGGCACCAGGAAATAAGTAATTTTTATGGGTGGTAAGAATATTGCACAGAATTCAAGCAATTTAAATTTTGTGTAAAATCACAACTAAAAATTAGTTTTTATGCTTGTGTTATCACTGATTACAAATCATATCTTTGAATAAATTAACAAATGCAAAAATTTTTATTCACCAAATATCAATTGCACTCTGCTGTAATGGATAAAAAAAAAGAATTTGACTTACCTGGGAATCTAAAAGTGTTACTTTGTGAATGTGGAGATTGAGATGGGGAAGGAGAAGTTATAGTACCAGACGATGTGGCATGTAGCGCTGGAGACGAGGGTGTAGAAGAGTTGCAGGATGACGTGGAACTAGAATCTGGTAAATGAGAAGTAGGAAAGCCAGGTAAGGATGACACTTGTTTTAGTAGGTGACCATCTTGTAGGTAACTGTCTTGTAGATTAATATTAGGATTAGTTGGTCTTCTATTGGCTACTGGAGAATCTACATAAAAATAAAACAACCATTGTTAATATCTTACCAGTAAATGAGTCAAATTCAGGCAAAGATATTTGGAACTGATCCAAAACACAAACATGAGCATTCTAGCTGTACTTTAAAGGAATTGTAAAGAGATTTTGGAAATTTATTACACTGATAACATCAATTTCCACCACTGTCCATCAGAGGTCTGTGGTTCCTACAATTCTACTTAAACTAATCATGAAATATGCTTGCATCACCGATATCTGATTGAAAATTTGAATGGGGTGTAAACTGATGACATCAGTGTCCCAGTTTAAGTAATCATCGAAATGATGCTAGTATTTTTTTACTCATAAATCTATTTTACCTAAGAACAAATAACACTTTTCTTGTATAAGGTTGGCAAAATTGAAATTGGGATGAAAAACATATGATGTGCAATAACCATTTATTCTACCACTACTCAAAAAACACAAATGGTTCACAGCTTTTCTTACTGTTCAACCTAGCTAATAATTTAGCATTTAATTTACAACTGAGAGAACAAATCACAAAATCTAGCTTTTGAAATTAAGCAAAGTGTCAACCATGAAAGATATGTGATAAGCAATTTCAGAACATTATCTAATTAAATTGCAACAAATTATGAACAAAAAAATTCGGTTTTGCAAAATAATCATTTTTCTCAATCCATAACCATTATAAAATTAAAAAAAATAAAACTTATAAAAGATCATGCTTAAATATACCATAAATAAAGATTATCATAATAGATGATAAATATTGATAAGAATGATGAGCTATGATATAACAATGGAAGAATATTGCCTGCCATGCCAATATAATAAAATAATATAAGTATAATTAATGTTCATTCCCAATAAACATAGTAACATATTGGTTAATGCTTACCAAATAATAATATTCCTTCTTTCAGATAGAATTACATTGACTAATTGATTTGGATTTGAATTTCATGTGATTATTTTTTAAATCTGCCTTTTTCAATCAATCAGAAAAATTATAAAACTTAAACCAAAATCAGATTAAATGTTTAAATATTTAAACTCCACGAGAATCAAATTTTTTACCATTTTCTATTAAAATAAATTTATTTTTTATTTTGATCTACAGATATTAGAAGACAACAAAATAAATAGTTGGGAGATTTAATTTATATAGAGTTTCTTATATATTTCCTGAGTATCTATGACGATAATCATGTTAATTTTTATTAGTAACCCCAGATGATAAATTATGAATTTTATTAGTATACAGTAAGAAATAGTAAAAATTAGTCATTTATAATAAGTATGCAGTTAAAATTGAAGTAAACTATATCAAGAGTATGATTCAAATTTTTGATAATTAGTAATCTTTGTTAAATGATCATTAGCAATCTGTGACCTTAAGAAGTTCATTAGTAATTTATCATTATCTTTTAGGATATTTTCCAGAATGACAGTAGGATATTTACATCAATTCAAGAACTTTGTTTTAACATTATGATGGTATAAAGCATGAACCTTTATATTAGTATGTTTACCTGACCACGTTAACAGGGAATCAATATAATTATCAGTCATACCACACGATGGTAACGCTCGCGATGCACAATCTTTATGGAACTTTTTCCTGAAAAAAATGACATAATTTAGTTAAACATAGAAATCAAAGATATGAATGGTCTTTGAATTATCAAGCTGAGCAGGGCTGAGATTTTCAGGACTGGTTCTCAAGAGTACCAGCAGTGGAATCAGAATTTCTCTTCTAAGATGGTTTTAGCCATTCCGCATACCATCAAGCAGAAGATAATACAATTTGCTTCTGTGGCTGAGCTCTCTCACCCGGCACATTTCATTTTACCATACCATACAATGGCATATGCGTTCATTTTGCATACTCTAATCCCTATGTCAAGGGTAAAGCCACAAACAAAGAAAAATCTGAATCAATCTACATTATATATATACATACATTTTAAAAAATATAATTTAAAAATTTTACAAATAATGATAAATTTCTGTGTTTTCTGAATTATTTTGAAATTGGAATAAAATTCAGTAAAGAATATTTGAAGACAACAATAGCATGCTAACAATATCAATATATATATATAACATAGGCTACTACATATACTGTATTTGAATTTTGCTCTATGTAAAAGATGGTACTTGGCCAAACCTAGCTGTTATCTATATACACCTCAGCTGAATGCAATCACGAGGAAAGAGGAATAATTGAGACAGAGCTTCGCCTAATTTGCCAAATACAGGCTTAAAAGTATTTTGTCCTATATGACCAATTGCAATTCCTATGGCAAAGAGGCGTATCTTGAAATTAGCAACAATTGAAATCATTATTTTCAAAGCCTCAACATTCCTAATTCCCCCAAACCCGCTAATTTTAGAAAGTACATCAATACTTACTTGCAATATTTACAAACTTTTCCTCTAAGTACAAGAGTAGAACAAATATCACATGGAGCAAAAATAAAACTATTAACAAATCTACAAACAATAATATAAACACTTTACAGTACGACATTTATATCATATGCTTAGGTTAAACACTTTAATAAGAGAAAAAATCTGCTAACAATGAGGTAATATTCTACAAATTATGTCCTGATGTTTTTTTGTCTGGACTTCTACCCGCTAAAAGTTTTAATGTTTCAAAATGATGTCCTACGTGTCTAGACATATGTCCTAGTATTTCAAATGGATGACCCAGCATTTCAAACTATGTTCACTCTTAAAGACTTTAATCATAGAGTTTCACATATATGTCTTGGAACCTTGATGTATTCTTATGTTTTCGACTTATTTTCTAGTGTTCAATAATACGTTTTAGTGTTACAGACATACGTATTAGTGTTTCAGATGTTTATTCTAGTGTTCCTGACACATGTCATGTCATAGTGTTCCAAATATTGTAATCTTAATGTTAAATACATATATGTCTATCTATTGTCTATTGATGTGCCTAAATTTTATGTCCTATTGTACTAGACTTTTTAGTTCCTAGAGTAAAATCTTTATGTCCATAAGATCTATATTATTTATGTCCATAAGATCTATATTATTTATGTCCGTAAGATCTATATTATTTATGTCCGTAAGATCTATATTATTTATGTCCATAAGATCTATATTATTTATGTCTGTAAGATCTATATTATTTATGTCCATAAGATCTATATTATTTATGTCCATAAGATCTATATTATTTATGTCCGTAAGATCTATATTATTTATGTCCATAAGATCTATATTATTTATGTCCATAAGATCTATATTATTTATGTCCGTAAGATCTATATTATTTATGTCCATAAGATCTATATTATTTATGTCCGTTAGATCTATATTATTTATGTCTGTAAGATCTATATCATTTATGTCTGTAAGATCTATATTATTTATGTCCATAAGATCTATATTATTTATGTCCATAAGATCTATATTATTTATGTCCGTAAGATCTATATTATTTATGTCCATAAGATCTATATTATTTATGTCCGTTAGATCTATATTATTTATGTCTGTAAGATCTATATTATTTATGTCCGTAAGATCTATATTATTTATGTCCGTAAGATCTATATTATTTATGTCCATAAGATCTATATTATTTATGTCTGTAAGATCTATATTATTTATGTCTGTAAGATCTATATTATTTATGTCTGTAAGATCTATATTATTTATGTCCCTAAGATCTATAGTATTTATGTCTGTAAGATTTTTATTATTTATGTCTGTAAGATCTATATTATTTATGTCCCTAAGATCTATATTATTTATGTCTGTAAGATCTATATTATTTATGTCCCTAAGTTCTATATTATTTATGTCTGTAAGATTTTTATTATTTATGTCCGTAAGATCTATATCATTTATGTCCATAAGATCTATATTATTTATGTCCGTAAGATCTATATCATTTATGTCCATAAGATCTATATTATTTATGTCTGTAAGATCTATATCATTTATGCCCGTAAGATCTATATCATTTATGTCCGTAAGATCTATATTATTTATGTCCATAAGATCTATATTATTTATGTCCCTAAGATCTATATTATTTATGTCTGTAAGATCTATATTATTTATGTCCATAAGATCTATATTATTTATGTCTGTAAGATCTATATTATTTATGTCCCTAAGTTCTATATTATTTATGTCCGTAAGATCTATATTATTTATGTCCATAAGATCTATATTATTTATGTCTGTAAGATCTATATTATTTATGTCCCTAAGTTCTATATTATTTATGTCCGTAAGATCTATATTATTTATGTCTGTAAGATCTATATTATTTATGTCTGTAAGATCTATATCATTTATGTCCGTAAGATCTATATCATTTATGTCCATAAGATCTATATTATTTATGTCCGTAAGATCTATATTATTTATGTCTGTAAGATCTATATTATTTATGTCCGTAAGATCTATATTATTTATGTCCCTAAGTTCTATATTATTTATGTCTGTAAGATCTATATCATTTATGTCCATAAGATCTATATTATTTATGTCCATAAGATCTATATTATTTATGTCCCTAAGATCTATATTATTTATGTCCGTAAGATCTTTATTTATGTCCGTAAGATCTATATTATTTATGTCTGTAAGATCTATATTATTTATGTCCCTAAGTTCTATATTATTTATGTCTGTAAGATCTATATTATTTATGTCTGTAAGATCTATATTATTTATGTCCCTAAGTTCTATATTTTTTATGTCCTTAAGTTCTATATTTTCTATGTCCCTAAGTTCTATATTTTCTATGTCCTTAAGTTCTATATTTTTTATGTCCTTAAGTTCTATATATTTTTTGTCCTTAAGTTCTATATTTTATTATGTCCCTAAGTTCTATATTATTTATGTCTGTAAGATCTATATCATTTATGTCCCTAGGTTCTATATTTTTATGTCTCTCAGTTCTATATTTACATGGTATTCCAGATATTTTTGTCCTACCTTGTGTTCTAGTCATTATGTCTTAGTTCTAATGTATAGGGCAAATTATTTACAATATATAATCTGATTGATCTAGAAACAACATCTATAAATAAATAAAATAGTGAACACAACATATATATCTTAAAATCTGGTGACTGAACATCTAATATTACAGTGAACACTTAAATCATAACAATTGTCTTTTATTTTATTCACAAAGGAACTTCTAAAATTGTTTTATTAAGGCACAGTTCGTGAAGTATCATGAAAAAAATGGAAATTTTGGCTGAGGATGTCGAATTGGATTCACTCACCATCTGAGTTTGATATGAACTTTTATGATCAAACACATTAACAGAAGTTGGAATCAAAATAAAGTTCTAAAAGCAGACAAGATTCTGTCTGAGAGAGGTCTGTTAATGATGCGATGTGGAAAGATAACATCAAAACATACCAGAGAAATTTAGTGAAGAAAATAATAAAGACAACTTTAGGTGTAATGCTTTGACGTTTCTCTTACTTGCAATCTTTACATTTAAACCCAATAAACATTTGTTTATGGCAAACATCACAAGTTGTGATTTTAAATGTATTGGTAAACCTAGAGTAATCAAATCAGCTTATTAGTTCACCATTTCACTTTTGAACGAAGAGGCTTAGGACCAAAGTATGCAAGCTTGATGAACAGGAGGATCATTTGGTGGACATGTTCTTTTTTTGGAGTATTCTAAGAAACTACCACCTGCTATCATGCGACCATGCTCTTGATTTGTTGTCACTTATGTTGTGAACCAACCATGTACATTTTATCATGTATTTTTAAGTATGAATCAGTAAAAGTTTTTTTGAAAGAAAAGACAAGTAATTCAAACTAAAAGTTTACCTGTGATTGATATGGTGTTTCATCTTAGTACCCATGGGAGTTTTTGGTGATTTTGGAACAGTTAAAGTATCTGAAAAGGATCATTATTGTATTATCACATTAAATTCCAAGTTTTAAACCCTGCAAGTCCTAGATATCATACCATAACCCTACCAACAAACTAAATAGAATTGGGACAGAGCAAATAATTAGTTCAAAATAAAAATACATATTTGAAGGATAAGTGAGGTAAATTGTGAAATTTGAAAATTCTACATGTGAATAATGAAAAGATGGGTGTAAAATTTGGACATGGATCAGGTTGGATTCTATTATCTGACTACTATTCTACTACACTATCTACTACTAAAACTAGCTTTAAGCAGACTTTAGACCTGTTCATTGTGTAATATATAACACAATAATAATTCTAAAAAGACATACATTTATGTTTCTCAAAAACCTTTTCATATACGTGATTTTGATATTTTGATATTTTGATAGATCTTTTGTCACAAATCCAAAATTCAACATTGAATAGGACACTGTTTTTTTTTTTTTTTATAAACAGAAGTCAATTTCACACCTTTTTTCTCATTACAACATATGTATTTTATTATAAAGATATTCAAAACAGTTAAAATTTAGAAAAACAGAAAGCACAAATCTACTGTTTTCAATGTCCAATTTGTTACTCAGATCCAAATAATCTGGCTTGTTAAAGGATTCTTCAAAGTAACTACCATGTGCATGGCTCATTTAAATTAGTAAAAAACTCAGTAAAAAGAATGTTACGTCAAAGAAGGAAAAAAGCCAAGCCTAATTAAAGCATGCAAGCAGAATGAGTTAAAATAAAGTTTTGATTATATTATACAGCAAGTAAAATATAAAGCTAAAAAGATTTCAAATGCTTTATCAGATATGTTTTGTAAATTGTACCAATGTAACAAATCTATATTTCAAAACACGTCGTATCAATACTCTAATTTGCCTTGTACTTTCTTGATTTCTTTATTATCTTGTACTATATATTTGAAAAGAAATGAAATCAAATTATTCTTTTTGACCTCAAAAAGACTCTGTGCAACTAGATACAATGAAATCAAATAAGATTGGAAGCTAACGCAAGGTTTACTCAATGAAACTGTTCATGTCTTAAGAGAATTCCAGTATAAGCATCTAATCACCATGACTACCACTACCAGTTGAAATGAAGGTATAATGCTAAAATGAAGGTATAATGCTGCCTTCCTCAATCTAGAAACTAACCCATATAATAACCAATGCAAAATGAGATCATGCACTATTCACTAATAAACTAAAATGATGAGAGGCTATCATATAGTAATAACGTTCCCACCTAATCACTGTATTAATTCTAGAAATAGTGCATTGTATGCAATATAAATTAGTAACTATCATTTTAAGAGAAGGAATTGCATAATAATATATCTCGAGGTTTAGAATAGCAATTCATTTAAGGAGATGCCAAGCAAAATATAAGTTTTCAATTTTTGGAAGTTAAAAATCAATTGGTGACATGGATGTTGTCCTCTATCCTAACCACATCTGCCTGATAAAAGAATTCATCACATTGCAGAATTTTATGCATCAGCAACCCATTTTGAAAGTTTTGAACATTTTAATTATGCAGTGATATTTGTCCTGGCAGTTCCTTGAAAAGAACAAATCAAAATTTTTTCTAAAAAACACCGTAATCAGTCTTTGACTCTTCTGTGAGCGAGTCCAGTGTTTCATTGACAATAACATTTTCTGATCAGTCACCAATCTTAGAAAGATTCAAGAAATTGCAACATTCCTAATCTTTAACCCCTCAATAATTTTGATTTGTTCTCTATAGAAGTTAAGAAAGATGTTAATAAGAGAGACTATCTTTCCTGAGTTCCTTTCATCAATGATGTTTTTCCAATAGGATTAAGATACATCTCCAATTATATTCATTGGAGATCTGACAACATTCATTAATAAATCAGGTTCTGTTGACTGAAATTGAACTATGATCTTTTGATGTCATGATTGATATTGATAACCCATTCTTAAAGTTAATATTGCAAATTAAATAAATTCTCAAGGAATTGTTCATTTAATTTATCAGAAAGCCTAACTAAATGATCCGGTTTTTTTTTCAGGAACTCAGAAAAGATAGATGGCATGCAGACAAAAAGCCATCTTACTAGAATATTTTGTTATTTCATTAGTAGCCTCATGCTTAAAACATGGGGGAGAGCGTAGTGGGGAAGACATGCCCGGAGAATTATGACCAGACATTCCCCTGTACGAACCAGTATCAGATCTATCCGATCCGTCCGTTGATAAACGTCGTCTGTATAAAGCTTCATGACTGCCACCTAGTTTTAAATTTTGAGGTTTACTTCTTTTATTTGTTCTGGAATTAGAATCATAAAATGCGAAAAATCTACAGCCTGTTATATATCACTTAGTGAATCACAAATTTCCAAAAGCAGAAATTATTCTGGCGACAGGAAACCTATCATTTATATATATGATTTTATTTGTGTCTAAGTGGGCACATCCTTTAACTTCTGCCTAGTTTGATCAGCAAATAGGTCATGTGTTTTAATTATAATTTATGGTCCAGTAAGACCCTAGTCAAATTTAAGAATCTAGGCATCTTTTCCCAATGTGGCTGTCTAGATTAGGAATTAGAAATATTAAAACAAAACCTAAAAAACATGTTGTTGTTACTCAGGAATTATCTTAAAGTAATATGTAGTCAGTATTAGAAAGAAAATTGAAGTCTTACCTAACTGGATCAATGTCTATAACACGATTAGCTAGCTGAGACTCATGAGATTTACTCTTAGTGATAGGAGCCATTTCTGGAAATAACTGCATTTTCTTCTTTGGTGGAGGCGTTGAGGGATATTTTCCACTTGACTTAAGGCGGGAAGGGGGAGGCGTGGCCGGTGGGGTGGATTTATAATTATAGGAATGTGATGAAACTGGGAGGGGCGAGGAAGGGGTACTGACAGGTGGAGTTGGGATGTCAGTTATAATTGCAGTCACATTATCAGCAGGTAAAGAGGATGTCGAGGGGCGTGGCTGATATTTAGGGGAGTTTCCATTACAAGGACTATTCGATGCTGATTTGTTGTTTCTGGTGAGTGACAAGTCTGTGAAATGCCAATCTTGATTTGTGATACCTCCTTTTATCTGTTGATCTGAATAGATAAAAGAAATGGTTTTGAGTATGATACAAAATTCCCATATTAGCCATGGTCATGAAGCGAGAACTATGTTTTGAAGAGTATTTTAGTCAAGAATGCAGATCACAATTAGATATTCTTTACTACAAAGATCTGGATATAAAATGTTATTTCACTTTAATATTTTTATGAAATATAGATTTAAGACAAGAATGAATATAAGACTGTTACCTGTGCAAGATCTTAAATTTTTTAAAGCAGCATTTAATGTTCTACTCTCTTCTTCACTAGCACCATGATGACTTAAAACTTTATTTATTTCATCTTCTTTCATCCGTAATAACTTATTCAATCCTATATTTCTCTCTTTTAATGCCTGTTAAAATATACATTAACATGCAATCAAATTAGGTTCTTGCCAACTATTGTCTCTTTATGAGGAGTACAGCCAGTTTGTCAAGAAAACACTGTCACTTTTCAAACTCTGTTTCTTAGTTCTTACTGTCTGGTAATCTTTTTTATTTTTTAGCACATTTCAAGTAGAGTGAGAAGGGTGAGCCAGGCTGAAAAGTGGCCATGAATAAGAAAAGTCATCTTGCCATTCCCTTAAATGTGTTTATATATGTTTTCAATTGAGTTCCCATGACAATAATATTGTTTTCAAACCAAGTAGACTTACATTGATAGAGGCTGAACTAACGCCAGCTACCTGTAACCATTGCTGTGTATTAGGATATTCATTCAATGGTTGAGGTATATTATCACAGTTTAATTTAGCTTTAGCCACTAACTGATTACTAAATAACTTAATTAGTTTACTCTGAAATCAAAAGAAAGGAACATTATGAACAAAATTTAATTTAAATACCTTTTTTGATACTATCAGCCTTATAAGTAAAAACTAGAGACAATTTTGTAAAGTTTTGAATACAGTATCTCAATTCTCATTTTATATTTCCATTATAGTTAATGTAACATTATGTCATATTAGCTAATCATGAGCTCTAAAAAGTATGAAAAGTTGTTGCTGCAATGAGTCAGGTTCAGTAGATAGATTTAGACAATAACTGGCAGATCTTATAAAGATTCACATAATTAATATGCAAGACATCTAAATAATAATTTCAAGAGAACATTGTCTAAGGATTCCAAGGTAATGTCTCAGACTAAGATGTGAATTAGTGTTGATGATAAAGAAATGAAATATCACTGAGAAATTTGATTGACAGATTGTAGGCTATCTGACTGACATAAGAATAATAAAATGCAAAAACAACATTTGGCAAAGCACCAAAATGGCAATATCATTGCCTTGTCATTTGACCAATTTTTAGACGACTACTATTTTCCTTATCAACTCACCTCTGTCTCTCGGATCTCCTTCTGTGTGATCTCTTCAGTCTTCTTGCATTCAGTTCTCAGACCCAGAAGTTGTTTGGCAGTGAAATCAATCATAAATTGCACCATTTTACAAGTTTTTAGAGCTTGTTCAACGCTGTCGTCTTGACTCGCGTCTGTGATCATTTTGGCAACTTTTATGTCCCTGATACTCTTAGTACCATATTTTCATAAATACGCTTGAATCTAGTCGATCAGATTTATACAATTGTCATAACAAGGCTGTTAATTTCGATAAATAACTTGACAGTCTTGAAATGTTTCAATGTCGGCCATCTTGATAAATTCTTGATCCCGTGTCACGTGATTATGCGCGAGATCGTTGCATACACATTCCCGCGGAATTTTTTGTTTACATTTTGTCTCTAGAAGAAAATTAAGAATTCAGTCAACTGAAAGCTCTTTGCTGCACAAAAATCAGAATGGCTGACAAATCTGACAAAACGAACCCAAATCTACCATGGTACGGTATTGCCTTAATGATATAATTGGTAAAATTGTATTAAAATTATCTAAAATGTGTAAACAAGAGATAATCTATCCCACAATCCAATAATAATGTGGGCGTGTCCAGAATTTTCTATTGAGAAATAAGGGAGGGGGGCATTATGTCAGAAAATGATGTAATCTATATTTATGCCTTGTTCAGTACAATCTCCAGAATCTTAAACACTTGAATTGAAAGTAGATAAATGTCATGACTGTTAAAACCTGATGATTGTTTTAATCAAATGATTGGCCATGGTATATTTCCTAGCAAATAGGCCTACATAGCTTTATAATGTAGGCATACATACAATTGGATCATTTCTATGCCTCTTTATGATACCATGTATATGAGCTTAAAAAAAAACTTGAAAGAAACTCTGTTGATTAATTAATGACATGGTATAACATTAATTTCATAGATTTATGTTATTTGATTAACATTATAATAATTAACTTCTAATAATGCTAAATTGCTTTTTAATACCACAGTAAGGTGTGTGTACTGTGTAGTCATATGAAAATCTTCACAACTGAAGCTATTACAAACTTCAGTTCTAAAGTAAACAAACATGGTTACATCTATATCGATTTATTTTGAGCAATATGAATAAAGGCTATAATGTGTTATTTTTAGGGTAGAAAAATACAGACCAAATAAACTAGATGATTTAATATCCCATGCTGATATCATCAATACAAGTAAGTTATCTCATTATCATTATATTGGGAGCTGCGGTGGCTCAGTGAGTTAGATGCTTGCTCGCTAACCTGAAGCTCCAGGGTTCAATCCCGGCATAGGTCGAGATAATACCTTCGGATTTTTCAACCCGGTTTCCCCCTGTCAGTGATGCAGGTAAGAGGGGCTGACATGAAAAAAGCGTCTAGTCGTTCGGATGGGACAATAAACCGAGGCCTCATGTGCTACAGGCTGTGCACGTTAAAGATCCCTCGACAGTTGGAAATCGAAAAAGAGAGGCTAATGCCGCTGTCCTGGCAAAATTTCCCTCATGGCACCCTACACGGCGTTGCCCGTCTTCATTAGCCCACAAGGTGCAGAAGAGTAGGACGTAAAACTCCATTCCATTCATTTCATTATCATTATCATTATCACACCTTTCCATTATCCACATCACAACTTTCCATTATCTTGATCGCATCTTTCCATTATCTTGATCGCATCTTTCCATTATCTTGATCACATCTTTCCATTATCTTGATCACACCTTCCATTATCTGTATCACACCATCTATTATCAATATTTCACCTTCCAATATCCATACCAAGCCTTTACAACATCATTACCTTTCCATTATCCTTATCCACACCTTTCCATTATCATTGTCATACCTTTCCATTATTACACATGTTCATCGATCATAGAAATTTGCATATATTCAGGTCCCAAATCAACCCCTGAAAATGGTGAATCTGTCCCTTTAATTGTGATATAAATGTTATTTCATCGGTCTCTTTTGTATTTTATAGTCAGTAAGTTTGTAAAAGAAGAGAGATTACCTCATCTATTATTCTATGGACCACCAGGTACTGGTAAAACATCAACTATTCTAGCAGTAGCTAAACAGATTTATAGCCCTAAAGAGTTTAATTCTATGGTGTTGGAGGTTTGTGGTCAATTTCATAATTCCTATCTCTTTCAGTGAATTTCATCTTCTCATAGGTCAGCTGACTCTTTTGGTGACCTGATGGGGATTTTATAAAACCCATGCAGTTCGATACAGTGGCTTTTTTGGTTGACATAGAACTGGCTTGGCTGTGACCCCTTCCCCTTATATTCAAATCTCTTCTCATTGTACCTACCTAGGGAAAGAAATCTGTGACCGTTATTTACTTGGCCCCCTCACTTAGTGATTCACTAAAATGCTACTGCTATGATAATGCCAAATTGTAAAAAAAAACCAAAGGCATAACATTTTGCTTTTCGAATGTTTGAATGAATTATTGTGCTTAATTTATTTCAGTTAAATGCATCAGATGATCGAGGTATAGGAATAGTTAGAGGTCAAATATTAAGTTTTGCCAGTACTAGAACAATTTTCAAGTAAGCAAACCCATTTCAGATGTCTTTTCAGCTTGTGATCTGGTTGTTGCTTTTTTAAAAGTGGCTCACATTGTTCACAGTATTGTGGAGTTCTTGTAAAAAACAGACATGTTGCAAGATATTTCCAAGAAAATTGGAAGAAATAATTGTCTGATGTCGTATTGATGTGTACGTCATCTGTAAATAAAACATAAACCAAATTTTAATGTAGATATGCAGGATATAATTTCTGATAAATGATTTTAAATAATGGCACAATGTTACGTTTCAAGATTGGATAGATGTTTGGCTTTCGATTCATTGACAATCTTAACAATAAGTTTTGGAATCTCCAGAAGAGATACAGAGTTTGAACACATTTAACTTTGTTTTTAGATCAGGTTTTAAGATAGTAATATTAGATGAGGCAGATGCTATGACAAATGATGCTCAGAATGCTTTAAGACGAGGTATGTATGCCTAATTACCATCCTTTGCAGAATAAAGACTGCTCAAACAGTAATGAACAAGCAAAATATGAGACCGTTTTTAGGTGCCAACTTATCAATGTACTAAGGATATGCTAAATTAGGCAAATAGAGTCATACTTGAACAGGCGTCCATCGATTATACCCTGGGTACAAATTGATCAATATATATTTTAGGAGGAAATCACTCTTTAAGATGACTGTTTTGTCAATTGTTGCAGACATATCTACTAAAAGAGAAGGAGAACTAAGACTAAGGAAAATTAAAATGAATAAGGTTGTTATCCTCATAGCTTGGGCTGTAACCATTATGAGTTCGATTTTCTTTTTCGTTAATTTCAGTTATTGAGAAGTTTACAGAAAATACCAGATTTTGTATAATATGTAACTATTTATCTAAAATTATACCAGCTCTTCAATCACGTTGTACGAGGTTTAGATTTGGTCCCTTAACAACAGATCAGATGGTACCTAGATTAGAATATGTTATAGCACAGGAAGCGTAAGTTTGTCACATTTTGAAATGGGAATTTAGTTTTCATGAGATGTTATATTCTCGTGAACTAGCTTTTGTAAATGCTACATCTTGATATTAAAAATTTGGCTTTCCTTTTCAAGCCAGTTGTCTTGATTTTACATACGAATCATATATCAATAGCATAAGATGAGCTCTTGTCTTGACTTAACTTCTCTAGTCATTCTTTAATAAAGTGCCAGACATTATGAAGCTTGGATAAGATAAATTAATATCCCTATTTTTTAATATGTTTATTGTAGTATTAAAGTATCATCAGATGGAATGAAAGCCTGTGTTACTCTAGCTCAAGGTGATATGAGAAAAGCTTTAAATATTCTACAGGTAGGAGGGAAATTCTTCATATTTTTATATGTAACCTTATATGTTTTTTATGTATAAAGAATTAATGTGTTAAATCAATAGTAGTGAGACTTAAATATCTTTGATTTGAGTAATCTTTAACAGGTTTGTTTGGGATTTATTTCCAAAAGTTTTATTTCATGACCAACTGAAAGAATTGAAGTTGTTATCTGTGCAAAATGTTGGTGTTGCTTCACTTGCCAAGAGGTTTAATTAAGGATCAGAAGGCTACAAGGGATCTTGGAACCAAAATTGTTTTATTAATGTATATATATATGTAACTTAATGAAATTTGATTTCTAATTTGGAACCACTTTCTGAATTTGTAATTAGATAATTTTGAATTTCTATTACAGAGTACGTCTATGGCCTATGATGAAGTAAATGAAGATAATGTCTATACTTGTGTTGGTCATCCATTACGTAGAGATATAGAAAGTATAGTTAACTGGATATTAAATGAAAACTTCACTACAGCTTACAAAAGTATCCTTTTAAATAGAACTATTTCTGTTTAGATTTATATTCCAGAATCTGCTACAAAGTATTTGAGGATGGAAACTATCTGGAGCTGTGGTCAGTCTGGCATTTTAATGAAAACAAGTTCTGTCATTCATTTACTAATGGACAGATAAACAGAGAAAATGCCATCTGCAATGAGGTAAGTTTGCAGTGCGTAACCTCCTACTGTTTTACAATTTATAATGTTTAATAGTTTTCTACTATATGATATTTGAAAGGCAGTAACATGTAAAAACAAGAATTGCTAAACCTTATTATTATTTAGATAATCTAGTATGGCTTAGGATGTAAAACTCAATGATATTCATCATATATAATTACTACTGTTTTATTTGTAATCTTTAACCACTATACAAGATTTATTAGAAATAAAGACAGCTAAAGGTCTAGCATTACAAGATGTTTTATCTGAAATTCATCAATATGTACATAGAAGTAAGTTATATTGCTTAGTTTTTGGGAGCCTGTTTTCTTCAGCGTCCAACTCAGAATAAGGCCTAACATTTTTTGTGTGAGTTTCTCGATAACCTTGTTTATTGACTAATTTGACTAATAAGGTTTTTTTTTTTTGATAGTTGCAGGCATTGGTATCAAAGACAAGAGCACCCTTTTGAAACATACGCCTAGACCTAGGAATAGAATTGTGCATTACAAGGGGGCTTGAATAAGTTTATCTTTGTGTTGTGATCTAAATTTGATAATGTCATGTCTAACCTGTTTTGTTTCAGTTGAACTTCCAATGAAAGTCAAGTTACATCTTTTAGAGAAAATGGCTGACATAGAGTAAGTAGTTGAATTTGTTTACTTTTATTCCTCATATGTCAGAATATGTTTTGCTCATACCTGTTGATATTGTTCTTTGTTTGCAATCTTTGAGAGCTTCGACTAATCACCAAGTTTATTGAATTTATGAGATTTACATTAGAAATTGGTAAGACATTGGACTTGATTTAAAGCAACAACATTTTAATCAAACCTCTCGAGGATACAGTTTGCTGAAAAGTTTGTAAAATTTCATTTCTTTTATCTAAGAGTTTTAAATGCAGATATTATGGACTTAAAACATTTAATGTAAAGATACTGTCTACTATTTTACAGATATCGACTGGCATCTGGAACAAGTGAAAAGATACAAATGTCTTCAATGATAGCAGCATTCCAATCAGCCAGAAATCTCATAGCTCAAGATGCCTAGACTCTTGACTCTTTGTATCATTTGGTTACAGACGGAAGGTGAAGATTCTGTATTGAGTTTGTCCAACTTAAATGGATAAAATCTGTAGCAGGTCTTTCACTTTTTTGAGGACCAATAAATGATAATGCCACTGTAAAGGATTTGAGAATTATGAATTCATATGTATGGATATAAGACACAGTAAATAGTTGAGTTACAATTAAGAAATGACAATATTTTGTGGTATTATTTGAATGGAAGAGGACAATTGATGTGGATACACATCTTTCTGAAAAGATCTAAGAAAAAAATAAACATTATGGAAAAGAATCAAGTTTTCTTTTTATTTTTCTGTTCTACAATATTGGATCTGTGCAGACTTGACCACAGCCATTGAAGCAACATTTTTTGATTGCTCCGCAATCACCATCTAATACACAATCTTCTTTACAGAGCTCTGGACGGTCTGGTTTCTCCTCTACTTCAACACAGGATCCTGGGTTGTCTACAATTAAAATATATACGAAATTGGCAATTTGACATCTTGTTAAGCTGAATGTAGCAAATTAATTTGGAGCTCCAATAAGATCTATGGTAGGGCATGATCATGTTTATGAGAAATGCTTATGAAATTATACATCTTGTGTCCTACTTGTCTCTATCAAAGAGAATCAAAGGTTACCTAAAACACCCACTGCTTATTTTTTGTCCTAATTTGATATTAGGGGGGTTAGCACTAGTGCAACTTGCATTATTTACAGAAAAGAAAAGGTTATCTGATGGAGATAAAAAAGAAGAGAACCACTTACAGCATCTAGAGCAACAGAGTGACCAGCCAATTTCAGGATCTTGTTCGCAAACAGAACCGTGAGGACATGTTTTATCTACTTGCGAACAATTGATGGGTTTTCTCTTCTCATCTAGGAATGGGGAACCATATTCACAAGGATTGTTTTCTGCATCTGAGAAAAAATTAAACATGAATAGCTCTTTTTATGATGAATGATGGAAATATTGACAACCCTAAGTCTTGGGTTTGATCGTAGCATTAGCCGAGATAGTACCTTCCAATATTCTTATCAGCACCCACAGTGATGCACCACAGGGTGCCAAGATGAAAAAGAGCCTCGTTGTATGCAGAATATTACGATGACCAGAGCCCTATAAAACGCCTGGTAAAAAATTTCAAACCTCATGTGGTACAGGCTGTGAATGTCTTTTCAAGAATTCTGAGCACTTCTATAAGTTAATATGAAAACCAGGACTTTTTGGCACTTTTCGAAATTATTCCAAAGTGCTCCGAACTCATTTTCATGCACATTGGTGGACTTGCATGGAAGCTGAGTCGAAATACTTTGGTAAATGTTACTCATTGTGGAGTTTGTCGTCATGATGGAACGTAAAACTCATTCCACCTACTCTCTGGCCACATTGAGTTCTAAATTGAATTTTTTCTCTCATGTCACAAATATTCAAAATATGATTTTCAAGTGCATACCCATTGTCTTAGAATGGGTCTATGAATATATAAGTTTTGAAAATTTTGCACTTGAAATGGACACACTTCTCTTCAAGAAATGTCATGTGAAAATGACACACATTTTGAACTGAACATCTCCCTCTATAAAATGCATAGTTTCATGTAATTTTGTTTTCAATGGTTGGCATTTTCATCAACCCAAAGACAATCTAAGACTCTCAGCAATATTTGGAGATTAATATTTCAATTCATACAAAAAGCCAAAATCTGATTTAGAACTTGATGTGGCCAGAGAGTACATTCTAATGTATCCAAATGTATACCGTATACCTTTATCTTTAACTTTGACACAAACTGGATAAACAATTCCTTCTGGACAGGGTGGTTCGATACATTTCTCTTGTTTTAACATAATTCTGCAAGTCATTGTTTCAGAACACTCAAAATTCTAAATAAATAAATAAAAGAACTTAGCCGTTACTCACTTACGCACAATCAGCGTTAAAGGGACAGTTCGTGATCCGTTTGATTAATCATACCTTACTCTCAGAAACGGGAACTTTTTAGGTAAGGTATAACATTAATATTGTCCACACTTAGTTCACAGCTCACAGTCGATTTTCGAAAATCCATGTGTCTAGCTTTTAAGCGCTTGAAAGTTGAAATGACGAATCATCTTTTCTTGAGACTGTCATATTTAGAAGACATATAGAAATATAAAGTGAATTTCTAAAGATTGGGGTATTTTTTAAGGAATTATACGATTTGTACATTTTTAGTGTTTCTGAAGATTATTTATATATTCAAGACCCAAATCAACCACCGAACATGGCCAATCTGTCTGATATGGAAAGCATTTAAAGGGATTGTAAATAGGATTTCCATTTTTTTTTTTTTTTTTTTTTTTTTTTTTTTTTTTGCGTATCGGGGACACTGAGAGCATCAATTTGCACCATTCCAATTTTCAGTCAGTTCTGTGGTTCATACAATTCCAGGAAACTAAGTGTTTGATGACGTCACCCCAGCAAAATTTGCTTCTATCACATATTAAGACCTTTGCGGGGATGACACGTAAACACTTAGTTTTAGTAGAATTGAAAGAAATGTGTGATTGAAAATTGGAATTTATGCTATCACTGTCCCCGATAGACATACAAATTAAGAATACCTTTTTACAATCCCTTTAATACATTACATTGCCGAGAAATCCAATACGAAAATTGACATTTTAAAATTAATATTTATTAGCAGGTGTACAGCCACGACTTTGAGTGAAAAGAATGGATAAGCACTATAAAATATATTTTTTATTTACTAAAAAAAATATTGATTAAGGAAAGTGTTAGTTGAGTAGAGTTTTGCCGCCACCATTGTGATTATATGGAGGTAGAATAAACAATATTCCAACCGTCTCTTCAACGTTTCCGAAACTATTACACATTTCTACAGTATTTCGTATTAGAGATATTAATATTCATGTCAGATAGTTTGAAATCAGTCAATCAACAAGCTTAGACGTAGCATTTTAACGTTTTGTTTTGTAAATATGACACATGTACCAAACCAATGTATAAGGACAACCCCTCTCATGCGAAAGGCCGTTTGATTAGTTGAAATGAACCCCAAACGAAGCTATTTGTATAAAAAGTGATCGTGGTTAAAGCGACAATGAATACTCACTGTGCATGCATCTTCACAGGCATTGGTTAGCACCAGAACTGACGCTATAAGAAATATCTAAAAAAAAAAAAAAAAAGAATAATCTGGTTTGTGAAATTTCTGAAGTAGTGGCGTTTCTACACCTCCTCGCCCCTTTCTGCTTGCCCCCCTCAACCAATGTTTGCCGGGCAATGTAATATACGCCCACTACCAGCTGTCGGAAATAAAATCTTTAGTGGCTTAATAATGAATTTTCAAATAATCAAATAAGTCAAGGCAAAACCTCAAAAACAGTTTATTAAATTATCATTTATCACATAAACAATGTCTTATCGACGCACATACAACGGCAATAACTCTTAAGCCAATTATTACCGATTTCAAAAAGTACCGAGATCTCATCAATATACACATGATTGGTAAGTTTCATCAAGATCGGATAAAAACTGTAGTCTCTGTCGTGCCTTCTAGCCAAATTTAAAGTGTTTTTAAGTCGAGGGCAATAACTTGACCGAGATCTCATCAATATATACATGCCTATTAAGTTTCATTAAGATCGGCTTAAAATTGTAGTCTCTATTGTGCCTACAAGAAATGCGGACAGACGGACCGACGGACTGGGACCACGGCAATATACGTCCACATTTCAATTTTGGCGTATTAAAATATATATGAAGAAAATCAAAATGAACTAAACTCATTTATTTAGTTAAAGGTCGTCCAAAACTGAGTTTGAACTTTTAGTCTGAAAAATTTAATTGTTTATTGTCTTCAATCGAGCCATATCATCTGAAAAAAATAGTTTACGCATATTCTTCAATTTTTCTAAAAATTTAAATCTTTTGATATGACATTTATAATGTAAATCTAGCAATTAGTAATTAAAAATCAAACCGTCAACATGGCTGCTATCCTGGAATCTAAGAAAGTGACGGTCAATATTTTGATTAATAATGCAAGAAATCTGTTACCTAGACTAATAGAACCTACTAAACTTAATAGTGGAGATCAATATAATAACAAAATATGCCAGACATATACCTTTCATTTACATATTTCTTTTTAATCTATAGGTATAAAATAGGTCAATTACTAACTTCCTTGGTGACCTTTCTTATATGCACGTGCAATTTCAAAGGGTATCCAGTACATTTCATTGAATTTACTTGCTTGTGTTTGAGTATTGCGTCTCACGCTCACGACACGATCATTCTTCTGGAGCTCTTTGCCAATGGGTTTATGAATTGTCAACTAGACATACCATTGCATATGTAGGCTACGTGAAAATGAAAATAACGCCCCGAATGTTTCGAAATCTATATCTCCACGGTGCGCTTTTGTTAAAAATGATAAAAGAAGTGGAATCCGGGTTTTATTCTCAAAAGTAATAGAGAATTTGAAAATGAGATTTTAAATAGACTTAAAATGTTTGGTGTTGTACTGTAATCAATCGATATTCAGATTAAGCACTTATATCATCTACGTTAGAAGAAAAATACATGATGTAGCGCCCTTCTATTAACTTCACTATTACACCATTAGCCTATCAGGCCTCAAAAGGTTTCGAATGATTTTGTCTGTCATTCTATTTTTTACATTTATATATTTCAAACAATCAGAGATACTTTCAATAGTCAATGACCAAAAACATTTAAGGCCTACAATGTGTGTGTGTGTTTTTTTTTTGACATAAATCGGACAGACTATATATGCAATGAATGGGCATTATGAAGTAATAGTCAGAATGGTGTGACATCTTTCAAGGACTTGATTGTATTTTGATATGATCGATACATTGTTGTGAGATAACAGATTGTTACAGACCTATCAATCATATAAATACATATATAACCTTAAAACACTGTTATCAACTTATCTTTGATTGCCTTATTATGGACAACTCAACACGTCAAAATTTGCATACTAAGATCTACCAAGAACATTTAGGTCGATGTCATTATGTAACTATACAAATGTGGACTCGTTTTTTTTATATGTTTTTAACCAAATAAGTGCCATTCTTTCCAATTCTTGAGTCATTAATTGGCAAAACAGTTGAAAATATTTCTTAAAAAGATTCCTTGGCCTATATATCATGATATAGCTCTTTCGAATTTTTTTTTTAAAATTTTTGGAGACCCTTGATAGTTTGCAGAATATTAGCGAAACTGTCTGATTTGTGATTTGTCAAAAGAAAAGAATCTTTCATTGTGGATAGAAATAGAACAGGTATATTATATAGAGAAAGTATGGTTGATGATATCCTATATATCAATTAAAAACAAAGATGCTTGGTGACAATTTATCAAGAGTTGACAAAACAATTTCTTACGGAAAGTCTTGAAAACATCAGATTGATCTGAATGATTTAAACTATGTTTGTTTACAATTCAATTTTGTAAAAAAAAGTCTCAAAAGAGATTTAATAAGATCCACCTTCGAAGTAGTCAATATAATCATGAATTGAATGAGAGTTGAGACAAAGTAGAATTTAAGAAATCGTGGAAATTGACCAAGAGCTTGAGAGAAAATATTTCCAATTTGATAGAAGTTAAACTTATCAAATCACCTTAATTATCAATTAACATTTTTGATGAAATGGCTATCCATAATAAAGATATCACACCCCTAAGCCTCAGTGATACGTTGAGACAGTCACTGACAATGAAGATGTAATTGATACATTGTAATGATTGCTTAAAATTTAACTTTAAATTTGGATATTATATTTAATTTCATTGTGGTAAGCTTGTGTTTTATGCTTTTTGAAAGATGTTTACTTATATTTTACAAGTGCCTCAGGCTCAGTGCTTGAGCAATTTGATAATCACAATTTATATTTTGATTTGGTTTTTACAGTGTATTGTCAATGGGATGCTTTTTTATATGTTGCTATCAAGGATTTCATTCAATACTTTTTATACCGAGGATATCAATTAAGTTAAAAAAAATAACCAGCTATTTTATAAGGGAGTTTGTATTCCAAATGGAATTGACTGAAATATTTGTGGTCTGGTTCTTGAACAAGCACTTGTTATGGAGTAGTCTTCCCTTGCCGGAAATAGGTGTCTACACTGAAATTAATGACGTTCAGAATTGATCGGTTATAGAAAAATGATAATAAAAACATAAACAATTCCCCAAAATGACTGATGTCGATGATTTTGGTCCTCTGGAATCAGCAGACCCTGTTTCAAACGGTAATATGCATTGATTTGTCGTTGTGCTTCAGAATTCGAAGGAATGCATGAATGCCACGATATGAATTTTGTAAACAAACAATTCTATTTTGGGTTTGTTTCCATGTCGAAATATTTTGACACTTTGACTCCTTCAAAACTGTATTGGAAGACGATCCTTTACAGAATTCTTGACAAATAATCCAAGATAATGAGACATCAGTTCCTGATAGTGCAATATGTTTAAAAGATAAAGAGCGTTATTGAGCAATATTTGACTGGACTACAAATGTAATGATCCTTACTTCATTTGTTCTAGGCATATTCCTAAATAGTGTTAATGCCAGTTTATCTTTGCCAATTGATAGCTTCATAGAATATTTTTTAATGTGAGATGATAGGACATATCGGATAGCAATGAGTGTGATCTAACACATAGATAGCCATTTCTTGTACAATGTCAATATTGCACATAATAAGATTGTCACTGTACTGAATAAATCTCTAGCTGAATGAAGCTCATGTTTTATTCATGAGCCCAAGCTAATTAGCCAAATGATATTACTTACAGATGAATTGAGTAAATTGAAACAGCAAGTGGCTACATTAGAAGATAGAGAAGCCACATTGAAACAAGAATTAGAAAATGAATTTGGTCAGAAGAGGGCAAAATTTAAAGATTTGTATTTACAAAAAGAAGGTAGCTTACATGTATTGTACAGTTTGTTTCAAATTCAGGCAGAATCATATTAATCAATACATGTTACACAAAGCATGCCACTTTTGAATTCAATTTAGTCAAATCAATTCGTTTAAATGCTATTATCTTCTCCTGATACCCTTGTAGCATCATTATTTCCTTATTCTAATTTCTAATTAAGATTTCCAAGTATAGTAGTGTAGCTTTAACACCCCAAGCCATTAGTCATTGATAATGTTTTGTTATGTTACAGAGGAATTATGTACCATCAAAAGTAAATCAGCTGAGTATCAAGAAACAATCCAGAAATTAGAAAAAGAATTAGAGAAAGTTTCAGGAGAATTGGAAGGGGTTAAAACAGCAGCAGCATTATCTGAAGTCAATAAACAGGAAGTGATTCAATCTATACAGAAACAATGCCAACAAGAGATAGCTTCTTTACAAGGTCTTCTAAATGGTAGGTAACTCTGGTTTTCTATGGTTATCTTTATGCATGAGCATAGTCAATACTTGCAAACACAAAGGGTTTGGACACAAATCAACACCAATTGCCACAATTTAAATATATTTTGTAAATAAAAATTATATGTTATTTGATATATATTTTGATTAGTCTGCATTGTTACAAACCTTAAGTTATAATTCTAAGCATGTACCTAACGCTTATGTAGGTCATTCAATTCTGATAACAGCAACAGAATTATGTAGAGTAAATATATTTGAGGTCGGAGGTCAAGCATTATGTAATAAGTTAAAATGTTGTTTGTTTAGCAATGTCTACATGTGGGTTAGACCAGAAGAGACGTTTAAGCTTACCCATTATATAAAACAAAAGTTATATTATTACTTAACTGAGAATTATCACAGCCACACGTCTTAAGTTCAGGATTAAAATTTTACCACAAGATCATCTTATAGACCAAATCATAGATGAAATTTGTTTTCAAACATGACTGGCAAATTCCTCCAATAAGAATATTGATTCATGTAATACAGCGTATCAGTACTTATACTGTAGGTAGTTTTCATAATAATCATGGGACTTGTTTAATATTATAGAAGCTGCAGATGAAGCTACAACGTCTATGGCAGCACGTTATGATATAGAGAGAAGTAAATTGGTTGATTTAACAGGCAGATATGAAGAGGAGATTCAGGAATTAAGAAGTAGACTAGGACACGAAAGGTAAAGTTTTTAAGTTTAGGTGGCCCTTCCCTCTATGTTAAGATCAATATTGCTGTGGTCCATATTTATTTACCTCTACATAAGTCTCTGAAAGGGTACAGATTTGAAGATGGAAGACTTTTTAATTTTAAAATTGTTTAATCAAATCCCTCAAAACTGTGACTCATTATGAAGTAAAGTATTGGCTTATCAACCAGATATCAGTTTAAGAAAGTCCATGAAGCTAAAAATCTGATGCGTGTTTATTAAATCACAACCTTACCTTACTTATTGTGAAGTTTCAGTCGGCTCGTTAAGGTCTGTTAAGCAACTGTAGATCAACACGGCTCTTGATACCAATTGAATGAAAATACTTTTTCTGTGTATTTTAGGACTATCAGTACTGGAAGTGAGAGTTTTTTGACATCTATATCTAAATCATTAAAACGTGTTGGTGGAAGTTTACCTATGCCAGCAAGCCCCGGCTCTATAAGCAATACTAGTTTGGAACACAATGAAAACCTTGAAGATAGCATGAAAAAGGTATGGTTTTTCGTAAATTAAATAATATGAATATTATATAAAATAATTATTTTGATGCGAATTGGTATTATAATGACTTTGTCTTGAGATATAAGTTGTAAAAGGCAAAATAAATAGTACAGAATTTATACACCCTACTTTTTTGCATCCAACTAGCTAACATAGACTGGCAACACCATGTAGTGTGCAATGAAGGACATTTTGAGAGTACAGGAGCTTTAACCATCTCTTTTTCTATTTCCAACTGTCGAGAGATCTTTAACATGTGCAGCTTGTAGCACACTTGGCCTTGGTTTATTGTCCTATTAAAACGAGAAGAGTAGTTTTCCATATCACACTCTCAGACCTGTGTTAGCTAATCAGGTAGATCACTGAAAGGAAATTGGGCAGTTATTGGCCTGTAGAGAAAACAATACTCCAAAAGCTATTTATGTGTTTCTCTATGAAATTACATAGATATCCATTTCTTTCTTTGTCTTGACCTGATTTGACTGTTACCATTAAAACTGTGGCATGGTAAGAGCATCATATTTTGAACTATATAATGTATATATAATACTGTATAATCCTATTACAATCTATTTATAGGCTAAAGAAGATGCTGAAGTATTAAAGTCAGTAGTTTTACCTCTAGAAAAAGAAATAGCATCATTAAGAGATCAATTAGAACAGTCACAGAAAAAGCTTGCCGAAATGCAGGTATGTGTGGTTAAAATTATTTGAGGTATTCAACCTCCCATTATTGATTATATTAAGTCAGAATGGCTTTTAGGCTGGGTTTCACTAAGATGGTTACTGTAGTCAATTTGTTAAAATATACACACAAGTAATTGTGTATTACATGGACAGATTATGTTGCTGTGATCAAGTACATGACCACGCCAAAGTTCATAATGGATAAATCATAGTATTTTATTATAAAAAAATGAAATTGGAAGCCAATAAGTGACTAGTCAAAAATTATTTACTGTGAGTGTGCCTAATTAGAAAGAGTACTCTTCTGGAACATTTAATTCTGCAATATGATTCAAAGTTTATATTGTTATTTTGGTAATTGTATTCCTCAAAATTCTACTTTGAATCACATCATTGTTTTGATGTCCATTGCTTTTTTGGTTTTTTGTATTTGTCTGTGAGCATGTTTGGAGTTTGAATTCTTTTCTTACAGAACGGTGACATAATAAACGGTGAGGACAGGAAATCTCCATCTTTACCGGACCTGGAAGATCTTTCTACGGGTGAAGACAAGGTCAACCAGTTAGTACGATATTTAAAGGCTGAGAAAGCAGCCAGGAAAGACCTGGAAATGTTTGTCACTGTGTTAACCACACAGAAGAATGTATTAAATGAAGATACAGAAAAAGTCAGGAAGGAGTTAGATGAAGGTATGATTCTTAAATGTGACATTCCAATTAAAAAAGTTAGTTTGAATAGGGTGGTTTTAGTTTTTTGACCCTATTTCTGTTAGAAATATATTTTGACAGAATTATTTAATTAGGAAAAGGGACCCGTTTCACAAAATTTCAACTGAGATAAATCAAGATTTTAATAACTCAGATTCTGATTGGTTACTGAAACTAGATTTAAAATCAATTTAAATGATTAACCAATCAAATGACTGGAACACTAAAATCATCAGTTAAGATTTTGTCAATCCCTATTAGTTTGTTATTTTGGTTACTTAGTGGCTACACGTCAATTTCATATTTCAGTTTGTGCGTTACTTGAAGAAGAAAAGAGTAACCATGATTCACTAAAACAAACATGGCAGATGGCTAATGACCAGTTTCTAGAATCTCAGAGATTAATGATGATGGATATGAGAAGAATTGAAGGAGTTCTGTCTCAAGAACAACAACGACAAATTGCTGGTAAGAATGCTAAATTATACTTATACGAAATGATATAGAATATGCCTGTACTGTTTATAAGACATATAGAAATAGGAGTAGGTAAAGAAGCAGAAGATATATGGATATACTATTTCTGACATTTATTAACTCAACGTTTCACATGCTCATACAGGCAGCGTTATCAAGAGAAGATATATGGATATACTATTTCTGACATTTATTAACTCAACGTTTCACATGCTCATACAGGCAGCGTTATCAAGAGAAGTGAATAATATAACAAGTCTAACAATATATATAGAAAAATAATGAGTAACAATTAGATGTAAGGAAGCTATGATTAAACAAACAAAGATTAACAGGAGGTCATCTTTCAGATGCCTGTAATAATATCTATTTGAGCTGCATATACTTTCAGATGTAAAACCCAGAAATTATTTATTTTTTGTAATGCATGATTAAAATTCTTGAAACAAAAAAGATTTATGTTTTTACAAAAACAAATATACAGTATTTAGATTTGTTGTAAGATATTTTAGAGTTTTAAATTAAAAACATTGAAACATAAAGAAATGGAGTTTTGCATCCTTCTTCTCTGTACCGGATTCAGACTAGGACGGATAGAAAAATAAAAAGAAAATACATGTATTTACGAAAACTCTTGTTTTGGATGGAAAATAAGCAAAAGTCAAATTTCTTTTCTTTCTACTATCAGAACTACAGAAATTAGATTCTGATAGAGAGGCTCAAGAGAAGAAAGTACGAGAATTAGAAGAGGCCAGGGAAAAACAAGAAAAACAACAGGCTGAAAAACGACGCAAAATAAGTGAAGGTAAAGTATTTCTCAACATTTTGTGTGGGAAAATACAAACTACCTCTACAATCTATAATAAATTTGGTAATTTCAATAGTACAGATACAATCAAAATTTGTCATTTTCATAATCATTACCTTGCTTACAAACATTTGTATTTTGTCTTTCAGAAAGAAATAAATTAACAGATATTAATTTACAAGTAAGTTCATTTCAATTTCTGTGATTCACTTCTCAGGTACAAATTGCATCCTTTTCTAACAAAATTACCAATTTTTTTTTTAAATAAGTAATATATTAACTCGAACTTGAAATTTAACTTTTTTTTTGGAGTAAATTTGTCCCATTCGATTAAACTCAAATGAATTTTGCGATTTTTGTCTTCAGAAAACGAAAGATGGATTAGATAAGTCCAAAAGTCAATCGAAGGCTTCCCTAGACTCAACTAACTCTGATGAAGTTGATTTGATTGATAGTGAGGTCCACCCATCCTTGTCTACGTCAGAGTTGAGTTTATTATCAGAAGATAAGTTTCTAGATAGTGGTATACACGATACTCGGTCTCTGAGTGACCTTGACACTACCACTACCGTTAGAATTAGTCCTGATAAAGTTTTAAATCTTCCTACACTTACTGAAGCACAAATGAAAGCCATTACAGGTAATTTTATTTGGCAAATTTGACCTTATGAAAGGCAGGGAATATTGCAGTATATTTCAATTGAATAATTTTCGCAAAAACTGACTCAAAACAATTCATTCTCATTTTTGAGTAACAGAAGTTTTGAAAAACATGTTTATTTGTAGAGAAACAAAGACATGTGAAAAAAAAAACCACAACATAGCGGCTGAGTGAGAAAGTCCAAGAATAGATCGACATATGGAAATCGAAAGCGTAAGCAAAGTAGGGTTGCGGTTCTGGCAATACTCATCTCAATGCCTGCTGGTAAGGATTTCCTTTAAAGTCTCTCCTCAGGACAAAGAATTTCTATTTTATATTGTCTTTTTATAGATCTGACCCCAGAAGTAGAAGCAAGGAAATCTCTTTTAGCAGTAGCGAAATCTAAATCTGATAATCTCTCTCTAGAAGGCAAGAGATTAGTTAGTGAGAGAGAGTGGAAATTATTACAACAAGAGGTATAATATAATCTAATTTTAGGAAATCACTTTCATCTTGTCAGACATGGAATGTCCTGTAAAATGTGTGATATGCTATTTCGACAACAAATAGCCCACTCTTTATATTTCAATTATGGACATATTGATCTTTATACAGAGAATTTGATGATTTTTATACATAAATTATTGTAAGTTCTTAAAAATTGTATTCTTAATGAATGAAAAGATATTGTCATTCAGAGTGATATAAATAAACTCTTTGGCATATTTGACTTCGGTTGGATGAAAGTATTGAAATCTGTAACAAGTACCACTCAATTTTGTTGGAAAGATAATCCAGAAAGGATCAATGCCTTGCCAAATACCAGCTCATGAAAGGATCCTACTAGCCTTATTTGTTACCGTCTGGAATATGGATGATTTGTAATAAATTGATTATAGTACTGCAGCTTTTTAGATTTAATTCACTAACTCACATTGTTTCAGATGAAAACTTCAAGAGAGAAGCTTGGTCGTCCTTGTCATATGTGTACAAACTATGAAGCTCAGTTACAAACTGTACAGACAGAATTTAAAGAAGCTACAAGTGAAGCTCAGAAACTAGATAGACATTTAAAATCTGAGAAGACAGCTTCTGAAAATCAACAGAAATATATAGCAGAGTTAGAGGAGGCTATCAAAACTAAAGCTGATGAAGTTTTTGGTCTGGTAAGTTGGATTTCTTCAAGCTTTACCTCTATCATCTACAGTTAGACTTATGATTATTTTCTTGAGGGACTTCAAAACAACTCTCAAACTGTGTAATTGTTAACACTGTCAGTAGTGAGTTCGATTATTGTTTTCTAGACGATTTAGTGCCTGAATCAATTATGTGCCTGTGATTTCACTCTTTCTCAAAGAAGGAAAACTTCTGATGATACAGCCAGTTTGTGGTGGGGTCGACCTGGTGTTATAATCTATTCGGTAGTGTCAAGATGTATTGAGGATAGTAAGAACACATTCATTCAGATTAAAAGTTTTATATAAATTTTTGAAATAAGTTGACTAGCCATGATTGGGGTGAGCCTGATTAGACCATGGTTAGGCCATCTCATTCAACAGTTGGGATCTTCTTTATGCTCATTTCAACTCTTTGTATATTTCTTAACTTTACTATATTCTGTGTTTTTCTATTCCAGATATCCAGTCTACAGAATAAATTGAGTGAAAGTGAGAAGTATTTAGTACAGACCAAACAACAATCAGTTCAATCTCAATTACAGTTACAGGACCAATTAGTAAGTATAGTACTTAGTATCTGACCAATGAGAAGTATAGCACACATGGATATAAAAAGTTCTAATAAATAACCCTGTGCGAGTGCCTCCTGTCGAAGAGTAACTTGTTACTAAATACTTATGGATTGATTTTCCATATTCACAAGAAAACATAACCATATTGGTCAGGTATAATGGGTTACCATATGATTGTTGACAGCCCTACTTTAGAATTTATTTATATTATGTAATTTCAGAAAACACTAACAGAATCAAGACAAGAAGTTCAAAAAGAGGTATGTGTTAAAATTTTGTTGTTGTTACTATAAATGGCGCCAAAATGGACTTATGCCACATTACAAATTTAGCTCCTTTGTGCTAACTTTCAGGTCATATGGCATTTAAAGTTTGGCTCATGTAGTATTTTGAAAGAGATTTGTAAACATTGTTTTTCAGCTGAATAAATTACAAGAAGAAAATGAAAGTTTAATGGGGAAACATTCTAAAACAGCTCAACAGTTACAGAATGAAGATATTAATTTACCTGATAATATGGAGGTAATGATCATTTAGATATCATTTTCTTAGATTAAAGGAATTCAATATATTTGAAAGAGCACAGAAAATGTTTTCATATTATGGAATATTGTAAACATATGATATTCGGTGTTGCATTCTAAAATTATTCTTTTTGTCAGCTATTGATATTCATCTTATAACTTGAGTTTGACTGCATGATTGAAAATGATATAATCCCTTAGACCACATACATAGTTAAAACAAAGATATCAATAAAACACATATTGTTGGTCATTATAGGAGATGCAGTTATTATTATTGAAATATAGAGAAGAGATAATAGCTGCTAAGGTGGCTAAAGAACATCTAGAAGATACACTCAGATCAGAGATATTATTTCTGAAAGACCAGGTTGTATCTGAACAACAAGAGAAAAATAATATAGAGGAAACATTAACACAGGAAATACATGGCCTACAGGAAAAACAAGGTAGTTTAATGATATATAGATTCCAGAATTTGAATTTGAAGTTGAAGATTTCAGTGTAGATGATTGAAACAACATAATTACATCTAAAAATGCAGACAAATAGATAGTCTTGAGTTGAAAATAGTGTGCATGGCAGAGTTACATTTACACACGGGATTGACTCATTTCCCATTAGACATGTTCAAGTTTCACTGTAGCACAGTCGTTAGGTTCAGAGTGTCCAAATCTTCACATGATGTCATTAGTTAGTTAAGTGGAACAAATGGTGAGTTCTTACTCAAGCAGTAAACGTGTACAGATATTCCAGGGAAGATAAATGCCAAGCAGTTTTGTGAAGGACCGGCTAGTGTACATGATCTTATGCTGTTATCCTTGTTAAAAATGGTTATCTGTTTCTTTCTTTCTATTATACTGTATGGTATATATGCTTAAATAGTTAATAGTATATTGATATTTGAGCTTATTTTAATTGATATTGGTTTGTCTGTTAGATATTGCAGTGTTGATATTTCTATTGCAGCATGTTTTGAAAGTATCCAATCAGAATTAGAAAGAGAATCAGCCGTTAGAGCAGAGTTTGAAACTAAATTCCGAGAAAATGAACTAGCATTGAAGAATCTCCAAGCTAAAAATAAACAATTAATATCAGTTTTACAACAGAGAGTTGAGGAATTTGATAAAGCAAAGGTAAGAGATTGAATATTGAATATCTTTTGTGCTTTAAGTCAAAAAAAAATTTATGGTGATTGTGGGTTATAATCTTGGTCGCCATGTCAAAGTCTTGTGATCTTTTATAAGTCATTTTTCCTCATTATTCTAGTCGACTCAGTGTAAATGAGTGTATGTATAATTTGATAATTATATTGTACTATTATAAATTACAGGTAAAATTTGAAGAAGAAAGTCAGGCTAGTCGAAGTAAAATACAATCATTACAAATAGATCTAGATAATAGTGAAGCTGTACAGAGAGATTTTGTTAAGTTATCACAGAGCTTGCAGGTTGGTTAAGGGGTCATATTTGACAATTCACAAAATTTCTTGATCACTCTTGCAGCAATGGTATTTGAATCAATCATACATTGATGATGACCATCTAAAGTAACTAGATTTTTAACAAATCTGATCAATCACCAGGTTTGATTGGATTTCACCAGTCGACTGTCGAGTTGATGGCAGCTGCTAGAATTTGGTTATTTTCTCGATAAGTTTGTTCATGTTTACTGCGATGTGAATGATCAGCTGTGAACCGTAATTCCAACTGTCCATTGAAAGAACATTTTGACCGGAGATTTATGTGATTTATTTCCCTCCATTAGATCCAACTGGAGAAGATTCGTCAAGCTGAAAATGAAGTTAGATGGCAACATGAAGATGATGTTGATGAATGTATGAATTGTAAACAAGTATTTTCTGTTACCAAAAGGAAGGTAAGATATAACTACTTAGAGAAGGGTTCTAGTTGGAAAACTTATGTACTGAATGGACAAAGAATGTACTAGATGGACAAATCGTGTACTGGATGGACAAATTATGTACTGCGTGGATAAATCATGCACTTAATAGACAAATCATGTACTTAATAGACAAATCATGTACTTAATAGACAAATCATGTACTGGATGGACAAATCATGTACTGGATGGACATATCATGTACTGGATGGACATATCATGTACTGGATGGACAAATCATGTACTGGATGGACAAATCATCTACTGGATTGACAAATTATGTACTGGATGGACAAATCATGTACTGGATGGACAAATTATGTACTGGATGGACAAATCATGTACTGGATGGACGTGTCATGTACTGGATGGACGTATCATGTACTGGATGGACATATCATGTACTAGATGGACATATCATGTACTGAATGGATAAATTAATTACTGGATGGACAAATCATCTACTGGATGGACAAATCACGGACAGTGTGGCCTGTCCAAATTATTTTTAGTAAGTATATTTTGCAGAGCACATCTTGGAGATATTGCTGGACTAGCTTGTAGAATATTCTGTTTATAGGAACTTTATATAGACTCTGAGAGTTATGAACAAACAAAACTGAATCCAAAGTATCTTGAAAATTTATTTTAGAACATGTAAGATTTTCTCTGAAATTTTATGTCATTTTGTATTTCAGCATCATTGTAAACATTGTGGTAAAATATTCTGTAATGACTGTATTACAAAAACTGTAGCCAGTGGTCGAAATTTACGTGCATCTAAAGTATGTGATGTTTGTCATACCATTTTAGTGAAGGATGCCACTCCCTATTTTTGTACAGAGCCACCTGCCTCGCCAGATTAGCGGACTGAAAACACGGTTTTAGGACTCGACCAAAAACTCCCAGATTTGGAGCTGAAATTTGGGGAAATATTGGAGTAAAGATATTAAAGAAATAACTACAATTTATATTGATTTACCTGAATATTATGGAGTTAAATATATCAGTTATCTCTTATAGATTTTTTTTATTAATTTCTTCCTTTTATTTTAGTAAATTTATTTGTATATCGTCTAAATAAGTAAAAACATGAAACCAGGCCATGTATTCTCTTAGCGCTATCAGGGTCCTATCTTCTAACCCTGTTTCTAAGATATCCTAGTGCTTAGATCGTTCTGGCCAATACATGGTCTGGATCGTTAATCTAAAAAATACCATTGGTTTCTAGAATTGAATTTGAAGTTTTTAACCTTGTAAGAACAAAATCACAGTGTTTTAACTGTAAAACATTCCTATAGAAAAAATATTTCTGTGTGTAAAAAATATCTTACCTGATACATTATGTCTATAGATGCTCTGCTTTTCAGCTTGAAATTTAAAAGTTTTTGACTTTTAATTAATTTATTGATTATTGACGATTAAAGGTATGTCATCTACTTGACACCCCCAAATTTCTCATTGAACTCTCCAACACATGTAAACTTTCAATGAAATGATAGGTGTTTTATGTTTAGAAGAGTTTATTTTGAAAATGAGGGGTGTTTTGATATTATTTCCAGTTGATAATGTATATATGTAATGTAAATATTGAGCTAATCATGTGATAGAATGAAATGAAAACCTACAGTATAATTGTATATAAACTATATTATAATACTATGTTTCTTAAGTGTAGATGATTCTTCAAAGGAGTATGAGTTGACAATATCTAACCTTTGATAAATTAAGTGAAAATCAAATGAAGATATTGTAAACTCCTATTTAACTAGATAGTTAACTGGTCAATTGTTGTAATTTGATCCTTGAACAAAAAAATAAGAAAAATGGGACTCAAAAGCAAATATTTTAGTCATTTGGCATTTAGAATTTATCTTTACACATAGTAACCACGTCTGAAGCTTCAACATTCTAGGATGAAAATTCTGATTTTTTCAAATTTTATATGGAAATTATGGAAAAAATCTATAAATTATGATTTGATTTGCAATATCCTAAAGCTTAAACATGTCTGAGCATTTTTGAGCTATAGTCAGACATGGTTTGCAAATCTAGGCATACAAGAATATAAGAATAATGTATATTTACTATTGACCAGCTTATACCTAGCTTATGAAAGTTTTATGGCTTATAATAAAGTTTTTAATAGATAGATTAAATAAAAGACCATTTAAAATGCTTTTTTGAACTTCCTACTTGTGATCATTTTCTTTGTTAAAGTTTATTGAAAGTAAATTAAAGAAAAAAGAGTAAAAAATTGTCGTGGAAACTCCTGTGAATTGGATAAGAGGTATGTCTAATTGTGGGCACATGATTGGTCTTGGTAGAGTCTTGTTATGAGTTTAGCCAATCGGCACACTAAGAGACAAAAAATCTCCAGTCATGCAATTGCATGATGATGACACTCTGTCTTGCTGACGATAAAACAATCGGCAACAAATATATTGATATATATAAATCTGGTGGGCAACATAATAATCTTTTTGTGGAATCAGGGGAACATGTGAGATTTTAATCAAGGTTAAAAATTGGTGACCAAGACTATTTGCGTGCCCGCACCATTAAAACAGGTATATAAATTGAAATGGCATAACATTAGACATGGTGATGTGTTAAGTTCCATATTCATAGTTGTGCAATACATGAAAATACAAAAGGGAAGTATTATGGTAGAAAAATCAAATAGTTAAAAGAAATAGTAAGTTTAGTACCTAGTTAATTACTTAGGCTATATTGTGAATTGATGTGCTCATAGTAATGGAAATTGAAAGAAAGTGTCAATTAGTTTTTTGACCTGGTTTTATTGTGATAGTTTAAAAATTGGACTTTATCAAGTCGTATGTTAGCTAATATTAGTCCATGTCATGTTAGGTCTCATAATGTTACACAAGCTAATGTTAGACAATGTAAGTTTAGGTTTTATCATGTTACATTAGCTAGTATTAGTCCATGTCATGTTAGGCATTAACATGTCACATTACCTAATATTAGACAATGTCATGTTAGGTTGTATCATGTTACAATAGTTAATATTAGTACATGTCATGTTAGGTTGTATCATGTTACATTAGTTAATATTAGTCCACGTCATGTATGGCTGTATAATGTGATATTGGCTTCTGTTAAGCTATGGCCTATTTTCCACTGTGTCATGATATACATCATGTTTGGCTATGTATTGTTAGGTGCATATCATGTTATGTTAGGCTGTGTTATATCTGTTGAGATATGTATGATGTTATGTTAGTAAATGTATCATGGTATATCTGTTTATCTCATGATAAGCTTTATTATGTTATATTTGTTTATTCTTAGCTATGCATCAATGTTAGTCTATATGATGTTGTATTAGCTGATGTGACATAGTGTGGTGATAATTAACTTATGACATACTCTTATCATGTTACATTAGCAATTGTTAAATCATGCTCCAATAGAAAATGTTTCAAGTGAATCATGTTACAGTAGACAATGTTAGATGTTTGGCTCATATTCCTGTTATAATATCGAATTTCTAATGCTAAGTTAAGCATCATGTTATAATTGTTATCAACATTGTGTATGGTGTATGTATGTTAAGCTTATCATGTTGTTATAGCACGTGATAGGCTATATTATGTTAGATTAGCTACTTCGGTATTGCATCATTTTATAGTTAAGTTAAGAATAGTGTGTATGTTAGACTGTTCTATGATATGTAAGGTAATGTTAGCCTTTATCATGTTGTATTAGCCAATGCTAGCCTATATCATATTATATTAGCAAATATTGGGCTATCATGTTAAATCAGCTAATGTTAGGCAATACCATGTTAGTTCAGTGAAAGATTGGTCTTTATTAGCTACTAATGGGCTCAACAAGGTACAAGGCTATAGTATGTTATATTGGCTAATATTAGGCTATATTATGCTATATCAGCTAATGTAAGGCTCTATCATGTTATATTAGCCAATGCTAGCCAATATAATGTTATATTAGGCTATACTATGTTGAATTAGCTAATGTTAGGCAATACAATGCTGTATTAGCTCATTTTGGCAATATCATGCTATATTAGTTAATGCTAGTCTAAATCATGTTATATTAGTTAATACAATGTTGTATAAATGTGATATATTATGTATATTAACTCTGTATATTTTAGTATTTATTCTGTATTATAAATGTTATTATTATTAATTAATGTATGTTTACAGTCAGGCAACAATATTTTAGTACATTCGGAATAACAACATAAACTTATTTGATGACACTGAAAGCTTAATTTATTAAATATTTATCTCTTTTCAATGGATACAGGTTATAATTGCCATGTATTCTCTAAAATTATTACTTATTCTTTTGATGAGATCTTCAAATTCTTTACTACATTGTGAGTAGGAAAACATGTATTCTGGATGTCTCAATTATGCTAAGGGAAATTTCAGGCTTCAAATTATTTATTATATCCACAAAGACGATCTAAGATGTACAATTACAAACTAAGTCTCATGTACTGTATATGGTTGTAAACCACATTATAATCAAGATATGCAAGTGATTTTAAAAATTTCACAAGAAAGATGCTTAGAACTGAAAGTTTTGTTAAATTTTCAATCTGATTAAGTTGATATGAGATTATTTCCAAAATTCGTATATATTAAGCTTATTTAAGCTTTAAATATGAATCTTTATTATTTTATAAATAAACCAGGATTAGCTCTGCTTGTTTTGTTTTCTTTCCATCCCAGAGATTCTGTAAGTTTCTGTTTCAAAAAAGGGCAAGTTGCTAGTAAAATGGTACCTTTGACGATTTGTATCATGTGCGACTGTCCAGGATTTAATTAGCAGTAATGATTTTTGACAATTGCATTGTGACATTTTTTTTACAATTAATTGTCCGTAGAACTAATTCATTTTGCTGTCATAACATAGAACGTTTCCTTGATTCAGATTTAAAATAGGCAATCAATTTCATTTTGAACGAAAACTGTCACTGATTGATTTATTTAAAATATAAAATTGATTTATGACTCGTGGGTTTATCGAAATGAACCTTCACTTGTCACCGTATCTCGTCATCTCAGCCTCGTGTATTGTGTCCACGCTGACATTTATTACAAATTAGTGACATTATTGTGACAAGAACACACCAGATTTGCTCTTAGTCAACTTTTCTAATCACCGATTTTGAAAATAAACGTTTTGGAATAACTGGGTCTTTTGAACTTGAAATTGCATCATCTCCAACAACAACTAAATCTGTTGAACAATTTTAAAAATTATTTATTCATATAACAGCTTACCCTTAAGCAAATTTATAGCACTTATATTTGTCGGATTTCAAGTTTTTTTTCAATTTGTTTAAAATGTGGATAATTTTGGATAATATTAATTAACTTCATATCCTATGACGGCTGCCTAAAATATCTATCGGTGGAACACTTCACTGGCTAATCCCAGGCCATGTTAGAAAGCAGAAAAGAGCAGAAAAGTAGGTTTTTCATTGACCCTAGTCCACTGACTCTTCCACTGTTCAATGTGTCCAATTAAATCACAGGTGTCCAAATATCTTCTTTTATATTATTGTTTACCCCAGAAAAGGTCCAGTGTTGACGCCATCAGGCCACACCCATTGTGGTGCCTGCTCTCCTATGGTAGGTAGCCCCTGTTCAACTATTGGAGTCTCGATACCAATCTGATCCACCAGGCTTGGCCCTAAAGTGGGTGGCGAACGAGCACCAGCAAAAACGACCCCATTCTCTGGTACTGAGCTGGATGGTGGTGGTACGTGATGTACTTCCATCGTAGGATCTGATACATGAACCACGAAAGGATGATCTGCTGTTCCCTGAAGCTTGTGCTGTATGCTCGGATGCAGAGCTCGATTGGTCGGTATCATATCCTGGGTACCGTCAACAACTGAAGAGCTACCCGGTACCATTGGTACTCCCGTTCCAAACACTATTCCTTCTGGAAGGTAATCAGGAGAAACCTGACTAGCAATGGTATCAGAAGTAAGACTGGTCAGGGAAGATCCTGGAACACAAAAGAAATCCACATTTTCAAATTTTGAGGATGAAATTTCATTTGACTTTGGTTTCCCAACGATACCAGACTACAATTTGACAGTTTTGAATGATAGTGTTTTATTGTCAGAAATAGATTCAGGCGTCCCTGTAAACATACCCTACTCTAGCTTATAATTGCTCTGGACCTGAGGGTAACAGTTTATATGTATTAATAGGGCAAAAGGAGTTCAGTCGGTTAGTTCATATGTTACCAGTTGTGAGAGTTAGCCATTGTTAGCGGTTTTCAACGGACTGTGATTAAAACATGCACTGAGATGTATTGTTACTTACCTAGATCTGTCATTTGTGACAAACTAGGACCAAGAGGAACTACCGACAAGCTCTCTGAAAAATAAAAGATCGTCTTCAGATGAAACATGAGTTGAGTGTATGAAAGCATTTATGGATGCCCAAGAATTTTGTGCCATAGGCATGGGCCATATGCACACCACCTAAACAAGATTTTTTATACCAGAGTACACGATTTACGATTATGTATGATGGGACAATATTCTCTGAGATACAAAATAAAATGAACACTTACGTCTTGTGGCGCCTGCCCGTACAATCATGTTAGTCAATGCTGATACCTCGGAGACTGGTCTTCCGAATTTAGATTTGGTATTTTTAGAGATCTTCTTTGGTGCTGGTAATATGTTAACTGCTCTTGGTGAATTTCTGATACGTTCTTTCAGTGCTTGAAGATCTTCGGTCGTGGGTAGGATGTCAACTGTAACCAGAGGAACATTTCTTCTGTTACCTGAAATATAAACAATTTCATGAGCAACAAATTCAAAGTTTAAGGGGTATTCAAGGCACAGTACATTCAGTTTATTTACATTGCACCACTACGATGAATGAAGTCAAATATTTTCAAGAAATCTTATTGCTTCGGAATATATAATAAACGTTCCAGTACATGGGTGTATTAAAGCTTCGTATCACAAACACTAAACATGATGTAACAATAAAGATAGAATGCGCAGACACTGCAAAGAATGTATCAAAGATATCAAAAAAGATATAACCTATAAAGATCTACAAGATTAAAATCCACAGAACAAAGAAAAGTAATTGTTATAGATTTGTGTCTGTGATATAGGTGCTTAGGCGAAGGTGGCTCAAAGACAGATTCCCAAGCCCTTTAAACAAATGCACTTACGTCCGTTAAATGAAGATAGGTTAATATTCCTTGAAGTAACCATCGATAGTCCTAGTACACATAAGGCACAGATACTTAAGAATTTCAACATGTCGATGCCTTGAATCCGTTAATCCTATTCCGAGAAATATTCAAGTTACTTCAGAATACATTTATCCGTAATTTTCCGGGTTTTTTAATTTGTCGACTTCATGAATGAACTCAATCCGGATTGTTTTTGTTAGTACGATAGGCCACGTTGACGTCAAAATACGGACTATAATACAAGAAACAAAGACATTTCATCTACGTTATGTTATAACGTGACGGGAGTAGGAGCTTAAAGATGTCACTACTTCGGGATAAAAGTAATTTGTCATTTAAAATACAGGTGCGTTATTGTTTGAAAGTTTATTTGATCTCTACGGAAGCTGATTGTGGTCATTTGACATATTGAGATCGTCGTTATCCAAATGCAATGACACTCCAATATGCATTTGTCATTGAGTGTCAATAATTGTGTTGGTTTGTCATTTCTGCCACTGCCTTTTGGAAAATTCCTTTTATTGTGTTAATTAAAATTTTTTTGATGTGGATGTATTGATTCCATATGCCACTTTTGCTGGTACTCAGAGGTTGTGAGATGGCCGCGAGTGACTTCCATAGTAAAGAATGAAATATTGACGAATATAAAACTAAATATAGATCATAAGAATTTATATTGATTCAAGTTACATTTTGTTTTAGAAACGGTGTCACGATCAAAAAATCAAATTTAGATAAATTGACATTGAAAAGATAATGAATGGAGAGGTATAGAAAGTGCAACTGATTTTCTGATTTTATACTTCAGCATTGCTTAAAGGAACTGATTCGCCATCCCTTTGACCATTCATACCCTTGTCTCCGAAACGGTATGTTTTTTTTTTAGCTAAGCTTATCAGTAATAGTGTTCACAGTTCACAGTCGAAATTTGAGGATTGTTTGAAAGTTAAGATGACGACAGGTCTATTCTTGAGACTTTGCCATATACAGAAAAGACATATAAATTAGAAATAGAAAGTGAAATTCCTACTTTGATATATAGTAAATATTTACTGAATGTAAAAACTTCTACCCCAAATGTCATGGTCTATGGTGAACTTGGTGTATATACCCTTTGCAAATTTATATAAAATATAGAATGGTTAATTACTGGTATAAACTTGTAACTGGTCCTCAATCGAAAATTGCCTGTGAATTGTATAATGCTCTGTATACATCATACGAGTCTAATATATGGTTGAACTCCATAAAAAGCATTTTAGACAGTGCTGGGTTGTCTTATATTTGGGACACCCAAGCCCGTGATATTAATGCTAACTGGTTGAAACAATTTTTACTGTTAAGGCTAAAAGATCAATATCAACAAGAATGGAATAACACTGTACATAATTCTAGTAAATGCTTAAATTATCGGCTGTTTAAATCCACGTTCAATTTTGAACATTACCTAATTGATTTACCTCTGAAGTACAGACAATACTTTCTTTAGTAAATTTAGATGTCATAGACTTCCAATTGAAACCGGGGTTTTCATAAATATCCCAGTAGAAAATCGTATTTGCTCTCTCTGCAATAAAGATGAAGTAGGCGATGAATTCCATTACATTTTCAAATGCCAAATCCTCAAGAACGAACGCACTAAAGTTGTGAAAAGTTATTACCTCAAGCATCCTTCAGTTATTAATATGTATAACTTATTTAATAGCCAAGGTACAGAGTTGGAGAATCTATGTAAATTGATCTCTATTATTGTACATAAATTTAAATGAACACCGAAGGTTATAGATGTTATAAGGTGTCAGATTATACTAACTGTAGATATTATTAATCCATACTGTCACTAACTGTAAATATGATGTGTATGTTATATTCATGTGTCTCAATGTGATTTGAGTAAAGATACTATATTATATTATATATATAATTGAAGGAATTAAGCGATTTTCGTGCAGTTCTCCTTGTTCTAAAGATTATTTACATATATCTAAGATCCGAATCAACCTCCAAAGATACCTTGCCAGGCAAGTTAATTTACGCCCACTGGCAGCTTTGATTTTTAATAAAAATGTTTAGCAGTACAGTCACCAGTATGAAATATTCAACCTTCAACACTTCTTTTGAACTCTTTAGGGCGATACTGAATAATATTGAGTATGAGTTATTGTCCTTGTTCTTGAAAACTTGTTCAATTTGTAGCTTGTGAAACTCTAGAAGGCAATATCAACCTTCAGTGCGTATGTATAATAAAACCAAAATCTGGCAGGAATCATGCCTTTTATTGTTTAAAGAGCTAAATTTGAAAGCGTTTTCTAGAACGAGGTCAAAAACTCCTATTTCATGTGGGCGTATAAAAATGGCAAATCTGTCCCTTTAATGTGGAGAACATGTCAATTTGGCGATGTAACACACTTAAGATGTGTCATCATCCGTTTCTACTTTGTCTTAATATTAAGGCCGTTTTAACACTCAATTAATCGGAAAAGCAAATATTAAAGGAATTGTTTTCTTAGAAATTTTATGTGTATCGGAGACAGCTTCAATTTGCACTATTCCAATGTTCAATAAGACATCTGTGGTTCCTGCAAATCCACTAAATCTGAGTGTTTAATGACGCTAATAATCGCAAAATATGCTCTATCACATAAGGCCCTGGTGCAAAAAGAAACTATCAGTGTCCCGACACACATTACTAAAAAGTAAGATGACCCACTGCAGACTTTATCTCTAATATAGAACATGATAATCAATACCTTATTATCTCAATATACAACCGATAATAATCAAACATGGCGAAATGTAGCCTAGATACGTGCCGATGGACTATGTTGTATCTAGCTATAAGTCTTTTGATTCTTGTATCCGATGCTAAAAATGTGGTTGTAATGTTCGGTAAGATTGATTCAGTAAATCTCAATATCCCTATCTCAGCCTTTCTGTAATTTCTTCGCCCCCTTACATATCACAATATCTCTATCCCGTAATCTGTAATCTCTCTATCCCCTAACATTTCTCAGAATCCCTATCGCAGCTTTTCTGTAATCTCTCCGTCCCCTAACATTTCTAAGTATCCTTATCCCAGCTTTTCTGTTATCTCTCCGTCCCCTAACATTTCTCAGAATCCCTATCGCAGCTTTTCTGTAATCTCTCCGTCCCCTAACATTTCTCAGTATCTCTATCCCAGCTTTTCTATAATTTCTCCGTCCCATAACATTTCTCAGTATCCCTATCGCAGCTTTTCTGTAATCTCTCCGTCCCCTAACATTTCTCAATATCTCTATTTCATCTTTTCTGGAATCTCTCCGTCCCCTAACATTTCTCAATATCTCTATCCCAGCTTTTCTGTAATCTCTCCACCCCCTAACATTTTTCAGAATCCCTATCGCAGCTTTTCTGTAATCTCTCCGTTCCCTAACATTTCTAAGTATCCTTATCCCAGCTTTTCTGTAATCTCTCTGTCCTCTAACATTTCTCAGTATCCCTATCGCAGCTTTCTGTAATCAAACGTGCAATCGAGGGGGGCAATTTAGCAAAGCACCTTGACAGACGATTAAACGTCGGGAAACGGACTTTCATGGAGTATTTTAGATTGGAGATTATTTTTGTTAAAACACACAAATAATATGTTACATTTTTATTGCCGTTTTAGTTTAAACGTAGTCGGGTATGTTTTATGGCAAAACGTTGAACAAATACGTCCAAGTTAATTTTCTGAGTACGCTTCCTGTTGAAGGCAAGAAGAACAAGATTGCGCTGGCGAAGCTGAGTCATAGATCGTCGTTGTGGTGAGTCAACACGAGTAAGAGTTGAAAAGCTGCTTTCACACACAGCGATACTAAAACCGAATGTGGCGACGCTTGCAGCCAGTGCATATAATTTAGGGAAAGCCAATTTCTGCTCGTATAGTTTTTGAAGAACAAGATTGGAGTCCTGATTTTCTGTACTGGCAACGTTATCTTGGAGAAATTGTTTTGACACCTCAATTGTTATGCTTCTCGAGGCCCTTTCCAGTATCACCCACAGCATGCTTCCAATCTGTGTAGCCTTCAGTGATGAATTTTTATGCACCCGCAGATGTAATGTGAAACACCCGACATTGAAATCAAAAAGGGGCGTCCCTTGACACTGAATACTCCAGCCATGGAAATCGATCATACCAGCTGTTACTAAAATGGCTAAAATCTTTTGAATTTTGAGACGGGACAGATTACAATCCAGTATCAGATCAATAATTTTGTTACCAATGACGCTTTACTGCAGCCTTTTTATGATTATCAACGAACTCAATTGTATCAAATTATCTATTCTAATGTAATTAAATTTAAAAATGTTATGAAAAGCTATGATATCTGGTTTCATCCTCAGCTAAGTATAAACAGAAAGATATTCAAAAACAGTTCTTAAGTAGGTCTACAGATAGGAATACTTAGTATTTTGTTGAACCATTTCGCATAACGCAGCCCTGAAAGCCATAACCTTATTTTTCGTTACGTATAATCAAAATATCGAAATACTCATCATATGATCGACAATGCAGCTGACTGGTGCACTAACTCCACCATAAAATGCCTGAATGATCACTGTTGGCTATTCACTCTGACTCAGTTACCTGCCGCTCCTATTGACTCAGGAAAAAGAAAAGGGTGTATTTTAAAAAAGTGACCGGTACATTTTTCTAGGGGGGCAGGATTTGATTATCCACCCCAAGCCACCCACCCCAAGCCCCCTCTTGGCTACGGGCCTGCTTGGTTGAACATTGGAGATTCATATTCTGATCCAAATGGGAGGATCTCTGTTGTTTGTTTTTACAATGTTTTACTCAAAAAATGAAGGCCCCATGACTCATTGCACCTCACTGTCTTTATTAGCACAATAAAGTAATCATAATAAAACTCATTCATTTTGTTGATGTCATTGAAGGTGATGATGCTGGTATTCAGATGGGAGCCTACAACAACCCAGTTTGTAAAACACCTAATATTGACGCACTAGCCGCTAATGGAGTAACATTTCGACATGGTTTTACATCAGTCAGTAGCTGTTCTCCTAGCAGGTTTGTATACATATCTGTACCCTGCTGTATCCCCTTGATTCTCTCTTGTTGTATTCGATTAGATCTATTGTATTCCATTGTTTTACTATATGATTATTCATATCACTGAGATGATGGTACAGCTAGTGGATTCACAAATATAAAAACTATCTGTTTCAGATCAGCTTTGTTAACTGGATTACCACAGCATCAGAATGGTATCTATGGTTTGGCCTCAGGACGTTTCCACTTCAGTTCTTTTGATAATGTCATCAGTTTACCTAAAATATTAGGCGATAATGGCATCAGGACAGGTAAGACAGCACAGGGATAAGAAATTCGTGCATAGTGCATTTTGGGTTCTTTCATTCATTTGAATACCAGAAAAAATACTACTGTACCCAATACCATCTGCTTAATTATAGGTCACGATTGTCTAATTGCTGTTGAATATTGTTGTTTTCTGAAATACTTTAAGCTGTCTACTAGGGCTTATTCTCCAAAGCTTAAATCCAGTTTGGTTTGAAGAAATATAGTAATCTGATTACTGTTATTGTCAAGTTATGTATGAATCAAAATAGTTATGTTTCTTTTTAAGGTATTATTGGTAAATATCACGTACAACCAGAATCTGTTTATACATTTGATTTTATGGAAACGGAGAGTACGAATGATATGAACCAGATTGGACGAAATATCACATTTATGAATTATCAGGTGGAACGATTCCTTTCATCTTATGGAGACAAGTATGTACAAACTGTTCATGTGATTACATACACAGCAATTGAACACAATTGATATAGTATATATAAACTCGTCGGTGTACAGAGGCTACAATTAACTGATCCGATTTAATCCAGTTCAAAGGGGTAATAATAAATCAAGAATGTACAATCGATCCAATTTTGTAGCATGCCCCATCAACAGATGTGTAGGTTGAATCGGCTCTGTTTGAGGCAGATACTCCGCAATACCAACCATACATACTATACTTTTACTCATACAATGCAATACCACAGAAAGATTAAATAAACAATATAAAATCGAGCAATTTCTATAAATATAGTATTTGCAATTGCAGGAACATCAAAAGTTACTATGAATATAATAAGATCACACGTAGTCTAACATGTCAAGAATAACCTAGCGCACCGAGCTAACACGTGTATCATTGATTCAAGTACGGAAACAGTCCAATAATTGGCTTTCAAATTATTGTAGGCCATTCTTCCTTTACATTGCCTTCCACGATGTTCATAGATGTCGCTCACCTGAGCCGTACGGAACATTCTGTGAGAGATTCGGAGATCCGACAAAAAGTAACGGCAGTATACCGGATTGGAAACCGGATTATTATGATCCGAAAGATGTCATGTTAGAGAAATATGTTCCAGATAAACCTGCTGCGAGACAAGACTTAGCTAATCTTTATACTATCACTGGACGAATGG